TATGGAACTCGATTTTAAGTTTTTCAAACCAGTCATTTGTTCCTGATTCTGATCAAACCCATCATAGCTCAGCTCTAATTTGTAGACTGATAACTATAAATCTTAGAGTGGGGATTTTTTGACCTAAAAAATAAATAAATACGGGTTTGTTTTGTTATACCCCCGTTTGAAAAGTGGGAGGGTATATAGTGATCGGGATGTCCGTCCGTCTGTTAAGCTTTGGGGTACCTATCTCTTATCCGCAACTCCTCTTTTACCACTGAAAGAAATTTAATGAGACTTTCACAGAATCTTTGTTACAAAGTGTCATTGTGCACCTCATATTTAACTTTTTGATTGGACACATATTTTGGGTTTGCCAGAGCAAAACATGGACATGTCCATTCTTTCTATAATATTGAAGGGTACCCATCTCTTACCCGCAACTCCTCTTTTACCACTGAATGAAATTTAATGAGACTTTCACAGAATCTTGTTACATAGTGTCATTGTGCACCTTCTATTTTACGTTTTATTCTGACACTTATTTCGGGTCTCCCAGAGCAAAACATGGACTTTGCCATTATAACCATATGGAAGGCGGGGAGTATCATTTAGTGAGTTCATTGCTCACAGTACCTCTAGTTTAAACTGAATTTTCAATAAAAGTCTTCAAATGTTGAGAAGTCCCCGAACACTATGGCCATAATAAAATGCAACAGTCTTGAAAGCGAGATAACCTCGATCGCTAAATTAATTCAGAAAGCTTCCCCAGGTTCATAAACTTGTTCTATCTCTTCAGCATTGTACATTTAGAATTAAAATTAGATCGTTCAAGCTTCCGTTTTCTGGTATCATGCCTATCCGTTTAACTTCATACGTTTTTTTTTCTCAATGTACATGTACATTATGATATTTCATTGATGACCTTTGTAAATATAAACTTGTGCAAGTTGCAATGACGTGTTTCTTTTACCTCTGTGCAATAAATACATACAAAATATGTTGACACGAATCAATGGCTACTTAAAAGATCTGAAAGTTAATTGAGTGCATGTATTTTTGCAGATGATATACATGTAATTAAATGAATCGAGATAGTCTGCCGAAAGGTCCACTATTCTACAAGTATGGCATACATATAAAAGACTGAATAATGTACAGTCATTGCTGTTTTTGATGTCAATGCGATGATTTAGCTACCCGAGGAGTACAATATTAACCGAGTCCGAAGCGCGAGGTGAATATTTTAAATCGAGGGTTGCTGCACGTAAATCATTGCCCTTATCTTAAAAACATCAATATTATTATTAAAATTGTTTTATTATGCATGTATATGATTCAATGATCAATTAAATGATACAAACTCGTTAAGCAAACCTTGCCATCTTTCTTGATTGTTGACATTTGTATCAATTTGGAAGTTCTTGATCCATTTTGGGTCCACTGTAGAAAAAAAAATAATGTTATGTTCACACAGTATTTCTCGGGTCACATGACTCTGTTTAACTACGTCATAGTCTCTGTTTATATAAGTGCAAAACGTGTAAAGCATCAGTTCTTGTATAATTTTTTGACAAATTTTTAAACTTTAATTACCATCTTATATAAAAAATTTAAAAAGTTTTAACATTCTTGTAGACATTAACAAATTAAAAAAAAGATTGATCCACTCCTCGGTTTCCCTAAACTGCGCGTCCAACAAGTCGGTGACGTCATACACGATCTGTTAGTACAGCAAGATTATACTCGGTGAACACAGGGGCGGTATTATTATGTAAAAACAGGTCATAATCAGTATATGATGAAATATTTTGAGAAACGGGGAACACAAAAATTATTTTTGCATGGCTGATGACGGAAATCTTATTGAGGTATATCTTATTTCGCTTATTTAGCTTATGTGTGACGTCATATTTGTTTTTTCCCGTTCTCGAGAAATGTAACATGACACGTTTTTGTCATGCGTATGTCCTCTTTAACGATGTCCTGTAAAATAATGAGGTCAGCTTCATCATTCGAAATTTTTACAGTTAATCAATTATCTAAAGGATTTGCATTTCAACATAAATTAAAAAATATTGAATGATAGAATTTTTTGTGAATTACGCTTTTTATTGTTTAAGTTGTCTAAAAAAGTGCGTAATTTTCCCTATCCAGATGCAGTGTAATAGACAAAACTTGCTTTTTCGAATTTTAAATCCTAGTTATACTCTATAATATTTTAAAAGATACATGTCCACTTCGATATTTTTATATATGATTAAAAAATCCCATTATGGACAGAGTAATGAGCCCGGAAACATGGAGAATTAAAACTCCACTGAGATACTGTAGGGCATATTTGTCAATCAGTATCTCGAAACCTAATGATATAACTGCTTTAAGATACGTGGGACATACTTAATTAGAAATATACAAAATATGAAAAAAATTAAATGACAAGTATTTTTTCAGCTCAAGGCCCTTCTCCTCCTTAATATGATTTCTACAATAATGGATCTCTCCAATCAGAGAGCCGTGGATATGCAATCAGATAATTTATACATTATAGGATACTGTATGATAGTGTTGACTTTATTTAGCTGAGTACATAACAGAGAAATAGGGTTTCTGTGTTCAAGGCTGTGTAATTAACATGACCCCAAACTTAAGAATATCTCAAAAAGTTGTGTACATTATTGAGTCTCTAATTAAAATGTTTCTTTGATATTTCATTTCAAAGAAATCATGGTTTTTGTCAAGACGTTTTTTGAAAAAAAAAATACATTGAAATATTTTTTTTAATTTAAAAAAAATTCAGACTTACTTGTACATGTATTGAACTTGTTGAATATGTTCCATTTACATGGAAAGCAAACAGGAAGAAATATTGGATATGTCGCTACAATGAATCTAGTGACACAATTACCACATAAACACACCATAATTATATATTGTTATCACATTCTTAATATTATATCCATTAATGCCAATAGAAAATTACTTGAAGACATCTATTAGATATTTCAGATCATCTGGTTAGTCAGGACGGCAAAAAGAAAGAATGGAATGTTCAACAGCTAAATATATAAAATAAAAATGTTATCAGTTTAAATAGAAAATGTATATGAAATAGTAACAAACACTGCTTTTTTGAGGAAATTAATGTTTTTTTTAAATGAAGGAAATGAATAAAAACGTGCTCCTCGACCTAGAGCTATTTTTTGACTTCCTCGCCAATTTCAATGAAACTTGGCATATAGTCTCCATAGATAAATGGGATTCGAGATTTTTCGAATGAAGATTTGCCATCCTTTTTACATAGAATATTTTTGAGAAATGACACAGGATCATTCTTTAAATCAGACAAGAAACAACAAACTTACACAATAGACTTCTCATTTGTAGAGTAGATTTGATTTTTTTCAACCCCTCAGCCTCAGTTACAGGGAAAATGTCTCGGTCGTCAAGCAAGAAAGTATCATCAAATTTTTATTTTGTGGCCACACACTGTACATACCGGGTACATGTAAGAAAACAGACATGGATAAAATTGCTCTTGATCAGAGAATGTCGTCAACCTAGCTGCTTAGGGTCATATCCAGAAGGTCAAGGTTGCCAAAATTGCTCCTATATTTATTACAGAGATCAGTTTGAATTTGACTAACAAGTCACCTATGTCCAGGAATGTCGGGGAAACCTTGCTGCGTGATACTCAAGTGTGGCCTTGAATGGCCTTCTATACACTGGTGAGTTCCAATTCCATGGTACTTTAATTTATGCAATTAGAGTCTTCTGCGCTCTGATTTAAATTGAATAACTAAAATCTACAATGTAATACACAGTTTGTAAGGCAAAAATATATCATGATGAATCAAGTTCTTTTTTTATTTGCTAGATTTTCCATTATCATTTATTGATACAAAGAAATTAAAATTTAGATTTCAGCTTTTCTATTTCAAAAATATCTGATTTAATTAGTCTTTGCAATTTTTTAAACCAACATTAAAGCAAAATAAAGATAACATTTTTCTTTTTTTTTTTAATTCTTAGGAAATTAAATTTGACTTTTATTTTGGATTTTCAATGAGTTTCGCTATTTTCTTTAAAGAAATACTTTTCAGACTAAAACATGCTTATTACACACTTCTGGAAAATATCGAAAAACATCGATACTTCATTTTATGTATCGATGTATCATATCGACCCCTTGCATGACAATACATCGATGTATTGTTACAACCCTAACAGTTTGTAATCAATTCAAGTATTATTTAAATTTTGTAAGACCAAGATGAAGTACCCCTGGTATTTGCATGTGCTTTCCTTATTTAAGTAAACAGGGTTTCCTATGTTGAAAATAAAATAGATCAACTCAGTATTTTTACCTCTGTACGAAACACTTTTCTTAAAAAAGAAAAACAACTTATTTTTTCATATAATGCATAGAAGGTCCTTAAGACTCATGAGTCTTTCATCTTAATACATTGAAAACAGTGCTACACTGTACAATATATGAATTAACGACAAACCTCTGTTGGATAAATGCCAAGGTTAATTTAACTTTTTTCTGTTTTATTGAAATACACTTTTATAATATGATATGATACATTACATGCAAAATATCATCTAAATATGTCATCTACAATTATTCCAAAAATTTTGTAATTTTTGAAATTTTCAACAGAAAACTTCAGAGATTTCATCATAAAACATGATTATTGCGTAAATTGAAATAATTAGTGTTACGCCAAGAGGAGACACTCTTGTAAAAAATATGTTTTAAATGAGTTGTCTATCTTAGTACTGTAAACGTTCATAGACAGAATACACATTTTATCATTCGAATCATCATACGTACATCTCAAGGACAGATTAATAAAATTGTATTACATGTAATACTGCAGGATAAAGTTTTTAAAATGTCATTTTCAAGCAAAAGATAAACAATATAACTGCGTGAAGGAACAACAACAGTTCAACAATGATAAGTTTAAAAAAAAAAAAAAAAAAAAAAAAAAAAAAAAAAAAACCACAGAATTCATTTTAATATTTCCCGGACACCAAATCACTCAAAGCACGCCTCGGAGCGAAGATGGTTCCATACACAAATGAAACTGATGTCCTTTTAGTCTGGTACGTCAAATGCAAGATATGCATGTGTTGCTCACGATAGGATTCCAGTTACTTGAAATTTAAAGCATTTGCTACAAGAGAGTCCATTGGTCAAATATCAGACGCTTCCTTTCAGGAACGCATGCGCATGGCGATTCCTTTAGTACAGCTCACATTTCTGTCTTTTCTAACCTTTAACATATCTTAAACCTCCTCAAAAGTTAGTTGACGTGTTATTATAAATTTAATTAAAATAATCAACAAATTGTAGCACCAATATGAAAATACTATCATGCCGGGTCTCAAATTAATTAAATTCAAAAGTACAGCCAAGCGATAGTCCCATTTTGAATCTTGGTTCCATGCAGCCGGCTTTGTTTTACCAACTTTGGGCTATAATATACTGATTTTGTCTGGGAATCAATATTAGAAAAAGGAAGACTTTCAGGTCATTATGCTCAACCTAAAATATCTTAATGATATAAAAATTAAAGCACCAATCAAAATAAATAAAACCATCGATGTTGCACACTCGATTTTGTGACTTGTCCTTTTCCTTTTTGGAAGGTTTTGACTGGGAGGAAGTGAGGTAGGTTCTTCCAGGTTTGACCAGACATTCAAGAACCAAATGATTAATATCACTGAAAGTCCCATGGTTGTTCTTCGAATATAGTCTGTAAAATGAAATTAGTTTTTCTTTAATACTCTTTCGTGGTTCATAAATTTGACAATAATTTCTTAAGACAATAATCACTGTAATTTTATATGAAAGATTTCATTGTTTACTTCACAATAATTTTCCCCTATATATTTTTTTTTATAATATTTATTGAAATGGAATAAATAAAGTACTTGTTTCATCCATCATGGAAAGATAACTCTGTAATAGCAGCGATGGCAGCGAGAAGAGAAGCACCGTGTATGTTCTCAGCAGTCGGATCTCGTATAAATCCCAAATCCAGTCCCCATAGTGACCACATATATATTTAACCTCTCTGAAAATACACAAATGTAAAAATTAAATAAATAACAAGAGTCCCATTGGCCACATCGCTCACCTGAGCACTTTGTCTAGGAAAAAGCAGAAATCAGTTAAGTATTCAAAAGTTTAAATATAAAAGTGGTCGGGTATGGGGGGGGGGGGGTTGAACAAACTTGTATCTACACTACCCGAGGATGCTTCCATATTTCTTTGACTAATCATAGCTTAAATAGATTTTTCAAGAATTTTTCTTAGGCCAAAGTTTTTATTTTTTTGGTTTACGATTTTCTGTCTCAAAAAAATGCATTGGGTGGTCGAAAAATAAAAATAAAAATAATTTAGGATTCAACAATTTCATTTTAAAATACCAGCAAAGTTTATTTTAATAAAAATAATACACGTCAATAGTACTTTTAAGTTTTATTGTCTAGATCACATAACTCTTTTTATTTAAATTTAATTCATTTCTAACTTTAGACTGAATGTCATTTTCATTTACATATAGTTCTGATTTTTGTTTGTAAATCAGTGCTTGGTTCATGATGTTCAACATTTTGTGCTCTTCAGTGATATGTGAAGTGTTATAAACCTTGGTATCCCCACAAACTAAAAATAAGGATCCAAATTCAAGTTAAATTTAGATTGAAGAAAAATACAATTTAAATGTTAATAACAATATTAAAAGTAATTGATGTTGAAATAAAAGTTATAATAATTTGATCATGCAACTATCAAATTTAATGTTCAACCTGCGGCAAAAAACCTAATAATTTCTCAATCAAGTCTTTCTTTAAATGTTTGTTATGTACCTGCACAGTAGGCAATGCTCATTATTTATTAGTAATTCAAAGGGCTTTAATCTCAGTTGAGTATGAAGTTTGCAAAGATTTGTATATTGAATCTACTTCTATAAACTAACAAATGTTTTATACACATTTGAATTTTCCAGTGAAATACCAGTCAACGTTACAACCCGAGCAAAATTTTCATTACGGAAGACTTAACTAAGTACAGACAATTTGTGGTCAAAAAAATTATAGAAGCAAAAAAAGCAAAAAAACTGGATAGTTTCTGGACATACGACGGTAGAATATTTGTCAAAACCGAAAGGGATGGAGACAGAGTTCAAATCACCTCGGTGGATGACCTCTACGAACTAATTGGTTAGATATATCAAGCACCTGCCTATATATTTATGTCACATGTAAAATACAGAATCAACATTTTTAATATTATGGACATGCTCAAAACATATTAATTTAAAAATTTCCATACTCTCCAATACCAGTGTATTGTTTTGCTCTCTGAACAATGTTGTTAGACACGCTTTGTTTATTTACATACATAGTCAGTCTTGTATATATGTTTGTTATGACTGACTTACAAGTACTTGTTCTTGTAACAAGTCCTAGTTCATTATTCTCTGTTTACAATCTGTTTTTTATTTTGATTACATCTACAATGGGTTTCAGTTTTTCTAGACAATATCAATATTTATATGTTTGCAAGCTACAACGTTGCTGTTTTTTGCGGCTTTATTTTATTTTTCTTCAACCCAAAACACTAGTTATTACCGATCATGGGTAATACTCTTGATCAACATCGAGCCGCAATTGGAATTTTTTACCTCCGAAATAGATGCACAATCAAATCCATGACTTATTGTTTTTTCAGATTTATACATTTATTCTCCTTGTTGTTAAAAGTGTACCAATGTTGTAAACAAAAATTCAAAGTTTGCATGAAATACGCAGTATATTTTCAGCATGTCAATTTTCTTTTTCAACTTATAAGCATTTTACTACTGTTGTCTGGGGATATTGAATCAAACCCTGGGCCTACAAATAACATAGTCCGTACTTTAGATATTTTTCATATAAACATAAGAAGTATAAGAAACAAAATTGAAAATTTAATATCATTTGTCAGTGATTATCACATTTTGTGTTTTACAGAAACACATTTAGATGCAAATATTGACGACAACGCTATTTCAATTGAGGGGTTTTCTAAAATTTTTCGCAAAGATCGAAACTCATATGGGGGCGGTACACTTATTTATGTATCCGATTCACTTAGAGCTTTAAGACGTGCTGACCTTGAACCTTTGAACACTGAATGTATATGGATAGAAGTAAGCGATCCTACAAGTAATATTTACCTTTGCTGTCTGTATCGGCCTCCGAATTCTGACAAATCCTTTTGGAAAAACATAATGTGGTCCATTGAAAAAGTTTCTGATATATCCAACAAAATAATAATCCTTGGAGACTTAAATGTAGATTTTTTAGATATCCCACACACTCACATAGTTAACGAAATTTTGTCCCAACATAGCCTTTGTAATATCATCAACGAAGCAACGAGAGTCACGAGTAGTTCGAGCACGCTTATTGACCCAATTCTAGTTAGCTCAGACATCAGAGTGCTTCACTCCGGAACTGTTCAGGTTGATAATTTTATAAGTGATCATAAAGGAACCTATGTTTATGTTAAGTCAGATGTTATTCAAAATCAATCATACGAAAGAAAAGTTTGGTTATATAAACATGCAGATATGGATAAATTGAATTCTCTTATTGAAAATACTGACTGGAACACACTTATTAGTGAAGCACCGGATATAGATCAAGCAACAAATAATTTTACATCAACATTTTTGAATATTGTGAAGGAATGTATTCCTGAAAAATCGGTTGTAATTCGTCCAAAAGACAAACCTTGGTTTGATTCGGCTTTGCGCAAAACACATAGAACTAAAAAAAGATTATTTAATAGGGCTCAAAGGACAAAAAGAAACTCTGACTGGGAAAAATATAAAAAATGTAGGAACAATTTTAACAATATGAAAAAAATTGCGATCGAAAATTATTATAATATTATAGAACACCACATTACAGATGCAAGTAAAAATAATTCGAAACTGTACTGGAAATTATTGAGAGATATATTTAAAGTTAAATCAACTACAGACATTCCCCCTCTACAGTATACTTCTATTAATGGTGATGCATCTATTGCTTTTTCAAATGAAGAGAAAATAGATGTTTTAAATGATTATTTTGCTTCTATTACTTGTATTGACGATAGCGACGCTGTGTTACCGGATTTTTTTTCTGCTTGCAATAGCACATTTGAGACCTTCTGTATTTGTGAACAAGAAATCATAGATATTATTTCAATTCTACCTGTAAATAAAGCAATAGGCCCAGACAATATTAGTCACAAGATGTTGAAATCCACAATGTATACTATTGTAAAACCGTTATGTTTATTGTTTAACAGGTCATTAGTTGATTGTATTTTTCCTTGTAAATGGAAAGTTGCTAATGTTCTCCCTTTATTTAAGAAAGATGATCCTTCTATTATGTCTAATTATAGACCTGTGTCATTGCTAAGTTGTATTGGTAAAGTAATGGAACGAATCATATTTAAACACTTGTATAATCACTTTCATGATAACAAACTTTTTTATAAATACCAAGCTGGATTTCTACCAGGTCACTCCACTGTATATCAATTAATTGAAACATATGATACTATTGTTAAAGCTATTGACAACGGTGAACATTGTTGCATGATATTTTGTGATCTTTCTAAAGCTTTTGATCGTGTATGGCATAAGGGTCTCTTGTTTAAACTCAGAACTTATGGTATAGAAGGAAATTTGTTTCAATGGTTAAAGAGTTACATAGAGGGTAGATCACAACGAGTTTTATACAGAAACTTATTATCTGACAAAAAACCTTTATATGCGGGTGTCCCTCAAGGCTCAGTGTTAGGACCTCTATTATTTCTTATATATGTAAATGATGTTGCCGAAGAAATGACAAGTTTTTGTAGACTATTTGCAGATGATAACTCCCTTCAGCAGTCATCTAAAAATGTCAATACTATCGAAAACAAACTGAATTATGATCTTAACAAGCTAGAAATTTGGTCGAAAAAATGGCTTCTTAAATTTAACTCTTCTAAAACTAAAGCAATATTTTTCAACTTGAGAGGAAGTGTTAATTATCCTAAACTCTTCTTCCAGCAAAATCAGCTAGAATTTGTCTCTTCGCATAAACATTTAGGGATTTTTTTCTCACATGATCTTAGTTGGTCTACACATATTGATACTATTCTAACTAATGCGTATAAAAAATTGGGCTTATTAAAAAAACTTAAATTTGTAGTAAATCGGAAAACTCTTTCACTCATGTACACAACCTTTATTAGGCCACAATTAGAATATGCTTCACTGGTGTGGGGTGGGTGTAATGTAGGTGATAGCGAAAAATTAGAAAAATTACAATTATGTGCTGCTAGAATTGTCACAGGCTTAACTCTGTTAGCTTCTAAAGATGCACTTTACTTTGAAACTGGATGGGAACCATTACATGAAAGAAGGAAAAATACTAGATTAACTACAATGTACAAAATTTATAATAATCAAGTTCCTGAGTATCTGACTGATATAATCCCAAATTTGCGTTGTAATTCATCAAGTTACAGTACGAGAAATTCACATAACTATAACATACCCAAATGCAGATTACAAACCTACAAGTCAACTTTCATTCCCCTTGTTATTGATGAATGGAACTCATTACCTCTTGTTGTAAGAAATTCTTCCTCATTATCTATTTTTAAAAAGTCTATTTCTTATAATAAAACTATGCCACCCTCTTACTTCAGTTACGGAAATCGACGCTTAAATATATTACATACAAGGCTTCGACACAACTGTGTACTTAATAGCGATCTTTTTCGATGTAATATAATCTCGAGTCCCTTATGTTCCTGTGGAAGAGTAGAGGACACCCATCATTATTTCTTCTCGTGCAAAAAATATACAGAAGCCAGAAAAGAATTTTTCGATAAATTTCTGCGAATGGGAAAATTACATACTGTCGATACTCATACATTACTCTGGGGAGATGAAAAGTTAAACAATGTTGAAAATGAATACTTATTTTCTATTGTACAAACATTTATTAAAAAGTCAGGTCGTTTTGGTTGATGCAATAATTACTTCTTGCAAATTCTATACAGCTTGTATATTGTATAATGTTTCTCTGATTATTATGCTTTTCTGTGTTTTATTCATTTTAAGCTGAAACCCATATATGTAAATATGTTTTGGTATAATTCATATGTAGGGAGAGGGCGTATTAAGTTTTAAGAACTTTTGCCCAATCCCAGTTGTAAAGTTTATAGACAATAAAATATGTTCAAACGTTACTTCAACTAAGATGTATCTCTCAACACTAAATTGGCCTAACTATTATCCATGGATTTATCAGCCTATTTTGGGAAACACCATTTTTGGGGAATTGGGAAAAAATTATCAGCAATTTGATGAAATTGGAAAACATTTTTAAAATGTTGCTTAAATCATGTACTCAGGGGTAATTCATTTAACATTTCAGCATGAACTCTAATTTGGGCAACCAAATGACAATTAAATATGATCCATCTTATTTGTACAAAATCAATTATGAATAATAGACTAATAAAAGTAAAATGCATATGGACTTCAATGAGTATAAAGCATTTATACAACTTACGGTAGTACATGTACATGTGTGTATGAGATTTCAATTTAGATCATTATAGTATCTGTTTCTGGAGATTATAAACCTCCTGCAAAAAAATATACTAAGTACACATTTTCTAAAAGTCCTCTTTTAATATGTATTAATGCATTGAAAATATATATTTCTATCTGAAATAATGCCTAAAGTCCTTACCATTAACTCGCAGATCAAATGAGTAGGTGGAAATAACTTAAGAAATCTATATAATTACACAATATCATCATTTTTAGAAAAACAGAAGAAATTCGGATTAAAAGTTGGCGATGTTTTTACAGTGTTTTTAAACGTGTTACGACTGTAGCTTTGCTAAATGAATTAAATATATGAAAATTACAGACAATCTCACAATTTTACTTAGTGTTTTTCCAAGATAATTAAAAATAAAAGCATTGTTCACCAATTGAGAAAAAATACTGCCAAATTGGGAAAAACTGAACTCATTTTCAATTGGGAATGGGCCGAACTTCGGCACCTGAGAAGGCACTGATTAATCCTTATTATCTATAGGTGTATCCGTGTCTGCTAGGTCGATCAGGGTTGGGGCATACACTCTCCAATATTACGGTATGAATTTAGCCAATTGAGACATTGCAATTGGAGAAAGGGATCATTTATCCAAGATTTTATTCACTTTTCCATGCAGAAAAAGTTCTTTAAGTGTGTGTCATTGCTTTCAGTGAGGAATTACCTTGTAACATGACAGAGCCGCCATTTTTGGTTTGCACATGTGTTTATTTACGGTCACCTAAATGTTTGTAAAGGTCTCATATATTTATAAGCGCTTATTTAACTAAGATGCATTCTAAAATTGAAAACCCACCATTTCAGCTGAGAAAAATCCTGAAAAATATGTCGGGAAAAGACATTATTTTTATTTTCATGATTTGTGAAAATTAGGGTCGGCGGAATCGTAAACCAAAAGAAAAAAAAAACTTTGGCCTTATACGTTTGATCTTCTATTGTGGCCTTGCCCTACCCTTGTCTTGGTAAGACGTCAAGGTCAAGGGGTCAAAAATCATAGTTACTGTATATTTGGAAAGGTCCTGAGCCACAGGTAATGTACATGTCAAATATGAAAGCCCTCTCCCTTCTTAATCAAAAGTTATAAGCAAAGATTAAATTTTGAAAGGAAGTTTAAACTTCAAGGTCAAGGGGTCAAAAACTATAGTAATTTTGAAAGGTCTTGTCACAGGTAATGTACTTATGTAATATGAAAGTCCTACCTTTTCTCATTTGAATTTTATAACCAAGTTAAAGTAATGTTAATTTTTTTGGAATAGGTCAAACTTCAAGGTCAAGGTCACGGGGTCAAAATCATAGTATATTTGGAAAGGTCTTATCACAGGTAATGTACATGTAAAATATGAAACTACTTAAGTCCTATCTCTTCTTAATCAAAAGTTATAAGCAAAGATTATATTTTTGAAAAGTAGGTCATACTTTAAGGTCAAGGTCACAGGGTCAAAAGTCATAGTATATTTAGAAAGGTATTGTCACAATATATATGTGTAATATGAAAGCCCCATCTCTTCTCGTTCAAAAGTTATGATAAATTTAAAGCAATGTTAATTTTTTTTAAAAAGTATGTCAAACTTCAATGTAAAAGTCAAGGGGTCAAAAATCATAGTATACTTAGAAAGGTCTTGTCACAGGTAATGTACATGTGAATTATGAAAGCCCTATCTCTTCTTATTCAAAACTTATGACCAGTTAAAGTTTTTGTGACAGACTGATACACGGACAGACTGACAGACGAAGGAGATTTAATGTCCCTCGCTTTTGCGAAAGCGGGGGGAAAATTGTCTCGTCTGACTGCGTGCGCATGTTTATATCTTTGATTTAAATGCAGAGTGGCGATTGTTCACATACTCGAATGTAACAAAACAAATGAACTTATTTAACTGAAGAAAAAATGAACAAGGGTACATTAAATGAGTTCAAGAATTTAAACAACAGTGACCTATTAATTTTAACAGTACATATATTTTAGAATTTGAAAGCCATGCATTGTGCATTCAAAATAGGAAGGGTGAAAAAAGATACAACCTTTTATAATATCAATGGAAAATAAATCCGCTTACATTAAGTATCTGCAGAGAAAAGAGTTTAAAGAAGGAATTAAAGAGGATCTACTACTGTAACATAAAATTGGAAAATCCCCAGACAAAAATGTGAAGAAAAAATAATATCTTCAAATGAAGATTTCACGTCAATGACACACTATATTTGATAATAGAATACATACTTGATTATAGAATGGGGAACTTTTTTTTATTCTTCTCAGTATTATCATTGGGTATTTTAATGAAACGTATATTGTATTGTTAATATAGGAATTAGGAGTTTAATTTTTAAACGCGAAAGATTGTAAAGTATTGGGGTGAATGTCCGTGGAAACGGGGGGGGGGGGGGGGTCGACAAAAGAATTTTGTCATGTTTCGACTGCAGTTCCTTTTTTTTTTTTTTTTTTTTGTTCTTTATGTCAATTTTAGGAAAACATAAATTTATTCTGAAGGTACATTTAAATAAAAGTTCCCAACATTTCAAACAATTTCATAGATGTGTGTAAAATGAACTAAAGTACATGAGATATAGGTCAAAAGGTCAAACTATTATAATTACTTCCTTGCGCCACGAGTAGTTGATTGACAACTCTTTGCTTTTACAGTAAATGAACGTGAAGCATCCTTTAGGGAAAATCCTCGAATGGGTGACGAACCTGGGTCAACGAGAGCTCGAGAATCAATAGAATTTTGTTGAAAGGGTTCTGTTTTCACCCAGCGGGTCTTCGCGGTTGTGGACAAGTTGCGTATAATTTTTTTCTCAGTGAAGCCCCGAATATGAGTATAGGAAAACAGGATCGTTGTTATTTTTAGATTTAATAAAACATATTTTAGTATGTATCAAAATATAAATGGGTGAGGCAGTAGGAAAAGTCTAATCCCTAGATATACAATAGACTTCATACATGTAGAAAGCATATCAACCTAGCACGACGATACACTGCATGTTAGCCTACTCCATATAAGGTACATCATGTACAAGGCGCATAAAGTATATTTTACGTAGTTTTGACTGGTATAAATTAAACACCGATGAGTTGTGCTGAAATTTACACAAAACGACTTTAGAAATAAAGGAAGAAAAAAAATGAACAAAAAAGTTAAATTTTGTTCATCTAATTATGCATCAAGAGGCATATAATTTATGTCTGTCTTTCCGTTTGTCACCACTCGTAAGTGACATATCCTATATATGTAACTGGAGTACATTTCAACCAAATGACTTTCGTACTCGTTAACAGGCATCAATGCCGACATTTTACTTATAGTATACCCAAAACAAGATTTTGTCAAATATGCAATAAATGCGTCAAGATTATAAGCACCCTGGGTAAGAAGAAAAATACGTTTTAACCTGGGGTAAAGAGAAAGACAAGTTTTATAGATTAAATATAATATATCTACATTTGAATAAGTTACATGTATAGAGAGAGAGAGAGAGAGAGAGAGAGAGAGATTTGCAAATGTTCTCCTGTAACCATTTCTTATGAAAGATTTTGCATAACCATGATAACATTTGGTTGCATTGTTTGGTATTTATGATATTTGATCATGTTACAGACTAGTATCTATATCCCGACAGATTGATATAAATGATATAGCTTATTTCTTAATCGTCAAAAAAATAACAGAATAAACTAACATAAATAATAGACCATTACTTACATGTATTACTTACCTCACAAAACATGCGTATGGAATGGTAATTAACAAGAAACAGTAATTTTGGGGACTGTTTTCCGTTTTCATCTTTGTCTGCCACAACATGTTAATCCCTCCAATAACTATCGAAGAAGACACTAAGACGGACATGGTGAGCTGAAATTGAGAAAGCATTCCTCTGGACAAATATTCTTCTGCAAGTATGGCGTCAATAATGGTCGATACTGTAAAAAGCAGAATAGAGAAGATGTGGGAAAATAATCCTAGATTACAACGTCCATTTCCCCTTTCGTTCCCATTTAAAGCTTCTCTAAACTTCATCGCATCCATGTTTATAAATTTCAGTGCATGCAGCGTATACATGTAGCTTGCTCACAACTGTTTCCGTCGAGTTGTCGGTGTACATTTAAATGCCGCAGTGGTATTGATAATTGCTCGTATGTTCGAGTAGTCTACTATATACATATAACATATATTTCGTTAATTATGTTAATTGCCTCAGCTGCCAATTGATATTTAATTTCTGTCAGGAGTCAATAATCATATCAATGCGTCACTTTCAGTGTAAGTAATAATTATTAATAATTAATTAGTGTTTATTTACAACTTCTAATGAGTTTACCGGTTGACATTACCCATTGTCAATTTTCAGTCAAGTCCTCGATCTTTGATATATTTATTTCTGCCATATCCACTTGAATTGAAATCGGGAGGCCCCAGAATATGTAAATATCATTATTTATTTATTTATTTATTTAATATTTATTTTACGGACATAACAAGTTATGTTAATAAAATGACTTTTTGTAATCTTCACTTATTTTCCAGTTTTGTTATTAATTTATTTTTTAAAGGGGCCTTGACACAGATTTGAAGTTAATATTTTTTTTTCAAATTTTCTGTATAATACCATTTTATATGTTGCTATATATAGCATTTCACACGGAAATATAATAAAAACATATTTTATCTGGAAATTATTGAAACTATGAATTTCGGGACGCGTTTGATTGACACATCTCTGCAAAAAATATTCTGTTATAAAAAATTATGTGGTATTCGTTGAGTTCGAACCCCCTAGCAATAAAAATCCTGAGTGCCATTTTCCTCTGAGACTAACACGCTAACCACTACACTACACAGCTCTTGGTGAATTTTGGCATTTAAATTATGTTTGTGATATGACCCTTGACTAAATGGACTTCAAGAATTTCTCGAAAATATGCGAATGCTGTGTCATAAAAGTGTATTTTTAAGGTATAGTGGGTCTTTGCTCCGTGTTTTTGTTGACCAAAAAATGTATATTTTTTCGCAAACTTTGAGGAAACTTTGAAAATTATGGAGCGAAAACCCACTCATATCGAAAAATTGTGTTATAGTATGAGAAAATGATCCTTTTTTCCCTCTCTAGTGTGTGTATGTTATTTCATAGGCAAATAATTTCAATCTTTGTGTGATTTTTGCAAATTGTGGAGGTTTTACATAAAGTATACTTTAATTGTAGATGAAATATCAAAGAAAATTTTGTTTTAATTGAGATTTAATTTTTCACTTTCTTGTTTGTTGCACTGCATTGCGCTCGCCTTGTTCGCCCATCTTTTAAAATAAAAAATACAAATTATATGCCATGACACTGTGCTTAATTGGAAAACGTCATCTATTTTGTTCTCATATTTCCACGGTTGCGTTGTAAAGAAAAATCACCTCGGACCACAGATGGCATTACATATGTTATTTTCATTTAATTATTCTGTTACTGTGCCTTTTTATGATCAATCATTTTAGCATTTCAGAAAAAAAATCAGGTTTCTATAACACCATCCCCATCCCCACCCCCACCCCCTAAAAAGAGAGACAAGGTAATATATAATATATTTTGTTTTGTTTCTATTATTAATTTATTTAATCATTTTTAATCTTAATTTAGCTTATTTTATTTTATTTTATTTTTTTTTGGGGGGGGGGGAGGGGGGTTCAATTTTATTGTGCCTTTATATGATCTATAATTGTACATGTAAAATCTCGAAGGATAACTCAGACCCATCTAATACTAGAGGCTTTATCCCCCCCCCCCCCAAAAAAAAAAAACAAACAAACAAACAAGGTTACATAGTTCAGACCAGATGAATTGTTTGTATGTTTTGTTTTTTGTTTTCCTTTTTTGTTTATTTATTTATTTATTTTTTGTTAACGGCCCCATCTTCCAGAGAGAGAGAGAAAGAGAGAGAGAGAATTTAACGGCCAATCAATATATATTACTTCACATATAAATCAAATCAAGGTGTTCGTCTATTTAAAATACTTTCAGTCCTGGTGTGTTTTTTTCCGAAGGATGATTATTATGTTCCAGAATTTATTCTTTTTTTTTGGAGAGGTTTGTAGGAGCAGGTTCGATTGCATCTTTCTTTTGTCCTCGCACAAATGGCCCGAAGAACTTTATAAGAAATCATCCTCTCTAGCCACCACTACACTTATCACAGGAAGCAGATGAACAAAGTTTGCCGATGAAACGCTGCATTAATAAGGCAAATAGTATACATATCGCTGTTATATAATTTTTATCCAGTGAAACTTTTGTCACTGAACTTCGTTTACCCGTAAACGGAAGGACCCCCCTTCCTTATCTGCTGAAAATGTGACTTTCTTAGATATGGCGTTCTTCTTTGTGGTGGAAAGCAAGCTCACAAAGCTATAAACTTCTCTCCGTCTTTATAGTTTCCTTATTAAAGCAATACCAGCATCCAACTTTTTTCAAGGTACAGGACATAAAAATGCATAACCAGAATTCGGAATTTGCAGTGTGGTTGGAGTCCATATTTTTTATGAATAGATAATTATCAGGATAAAGATTTCCGAAGAGGATACAGTTGTTCAAACTTAGAGACCAGTCATGGGGGGGGGGGTGCTACTTTTTCTATAAAGCATGCGTTTCGTGCATCCCTCCTTTTGGTGAGACATACAGTTTTAATTTTTATACATGTATTTTAAAAATGTGACATCTGAAGCATTGTCACAACTACACTTTTAAATAACACCCAATTTCGCCTAATCTAAGGAGTTTTCCGTGAAATACATCATCGGAAACAATGACCAAAATGTACGATCCTCACACATTCTGGAGAGAGCGAAAATGCAGATCGTGACATGAGACGATTCGTGCAAAAATGCAGTATTGAAACAATCCCTTTTGCCCCTTCTGCTTCGAATGTCTACATGTATATATATGAATAAATGAATATATTAATGTTAAAAATTAGTTCGTTAAAACTAATTTTAATACTTATTAAAGGATACGATACGAAAGAGAGAGAGGAGAGAGTTACGTGCACTAAGTACCATACATGGCTAAATGACCGAATTAATAACCTTTGTACTGCAAAATACAGTAGGTCAACTTCGCATACTTGCACGTAGTGCGGAATTGAAAGTGCATAAGAATAGCCCAGTGCATAATGCACCTATTGCAAATCTGTAGAGAGGGGTGCAGCGGGCTGTATAAATAGCCTTGAATGTTGTTAATCCCACTGCGTGTCTACTTCCTGCTGACTGAGAGGGATCTCACTTGCATTTAATAAAACCTCATCAAGTTATAGTTGCTTTTACCCACCCTAAGCCATGTATTACTAGTATTATCTCAATAAATTTAGGATACAACAAATTTAGAGTCTAAATGAATTCAATTTCATCATTATGATAATTTATTATCTTTTCCCAAAGAGGTTGTGTTTGTCTTTGATTAACTGATCGAAGGATTCATCATTCATACTGTTGCAGTATTATTCCAACTGAGTAAAAGCTTGTAAAAATTCATTTTGTTTAAAACTCTATTTTGTAATAACTATTTTATAGAATTAAAAATGAACAATCTATGTTTTCCCCTCTAAATATCGATAAACGTGCAAATAAAATACACACAGATACCGAAAAATCTTTGGAGGAAAGGGGTGAATACTGAACGCTTCCTGTAGCCAAGTACCAATAAAAAATTATAATGCAGGTCACTTCCCTTGTTAACATCCATATAGATTATCTCAGGACAGTGGGAAGCAATTTCAGTTGGGGGGGGGGTCTTGACAAGCGAAAACAAAGCAAAACAAAAGGTTATCCTCCTCACTCTTAAAAATCCTGCTTCTGTTCCGTCTCATATATGTAAAAGTGAGGTTGTCTATCTTTTTTAACTTCCTTGTGTATAATGACTGTACATAGAAACTTATTTTGATTGCATGATTTCCTGTAAATCTGTAAGGTTTTAAAAAATATATTTTGATCCAAAAAAAAAAAAATGATAACAAAGTATGTACACTGTATTCATCATGGAACATATGTTCAAGTATTCCAACCAGGGCACAAAAGGTATAACTTTTCCGAATCGTAGTACACAGTGTATTTAAATAACAGGATGTTTGAAACATATTAGGGGTTCCGGGGGCACTTAGTTTTTTTTTAAAGTATGTATATATACATTAATATACTCCAATGGCACCGATTAGCACCGATTTTCACATGCTTTTTTACATTGGGTTTTGAAATAAATCGCAAAACTGCATAAGTATTTTTTTTTTTAAAAAAATGCATTTTTCGAAACGTGGTACACATTGAAAGATACTTATACCAGGATGTTTATCTACTTGAAACAAGTTTCGAACATAATCCAGGCATGTAGTATTAGGGGGTCCGGGGGGGGGGGACTTTTCGCAAACATAACTTTTTACTGTTGAACATGATCTTGGTGTTCTTGATTGAAAGGCTGCCTCCTTTTACTTGCTGTATAGTTAAATCATAGAAATGTATAGTGAAATAAAATTTGGTTGAAGAAAAAAAAGTCCCCCCCCCCCCCACACACACATACATACACAAACAGGAAATAGGATTTGAGAATTAGGGAAAAAAAAATTTTTTCTTGTCATTTTTTTTTCAGTTTAGTTGTCAAGCATTTTTCTGCCCCCCCCCCCCCTTTAATAAACGATATACTTGCCTGTAATCATCAATAGTTATTTCACGTTTTATTAAGTTTATTACTTATTGCACTATACCGGGCTGTATTAAATAAACCTTCAACTAGTTGATGCAAAATAAGAACCAAAGAAACTATAAAGTACGATAGTTATACCTCTTGTGTTTTAACAAATTTAACTAAATGTATTAGGTGTACACGTTCTGTGATATGTATCATGTTGTAAATTTTGAATTTACTAGATGGAGGTAAATGCAGAATTTACATTATGATAACTTTTGACTTGTTGTAAAGTTTGTGTTAACCTCCATCTAGTAAGTTCTAAATTGACAACATGGTACATATGTACATCAATGAAATATTCGGGGGGGGGGGGGGGGGTTCCGAGTTACAACAAGGGTTAGTATTTCAATGGCCAAAATTGTTCTCCTTTTGAATTATCCTTAAAGTTAAAGAAAAAAAACTATATGAGTGAATGTGGATCAGATCAAAAGAATGATCAAATATCGATGTCTTTTGGGGTATGGAGTGGGATGTGTTTTTTAATTCTCGTGGTGAGCCAATCCCTGGGGCAAATCCATATTTTATTGTCGCCCAGAAGCGCTATCCCTCTGTCTAACAGCAGCCTAAGTAATGACATTGTTACACATTCAGAACAATGCGATCGAATACAATTGATAACACCTCCTTTGAAGTTATAATAGTAATTGATTGAAATTGATGACATACGTTAATGTCGCAAGAATATCACAAAATTGTCAAAATTTCCAAATTTGTTTCCTATGGAGCTCTAAATAAATTTTTGATCAATTTTAAAGTATGGTTTGCTTCAGATTAGCTTATTTGTCAAGTTTATGTATCTTCTGTATAACAATCGTACGCTTGACTGGAAAACAAATTTTGCACTAAGCTTTCCAAAAACGAAATTTATCTGAAATGATTACCATGCTTTTAACAAGAGGCCCATGGGCCACAACGCTCATCTGAGTCACTTGGTCTAGCTGTTCTCCATCAGCATTTTCCCCAACATACGTTTTCCTTTGTACAATAGCATTTAGTGGCCCCCACCCTACACCCAGGGGCCGTGATTTGAACAAAACTGATTCTACAATACCAGAGGATGCTTCCATATAAATATGACTAATCATGACTTTGCTATTCTTGAGAAGATTTTTAAAATCTTTTCCTATAAATTACTATGTAAAACTTACCCCTGGGCCCATTTGAACAATTTACAATCAACACTACATGTACATGTACCTCAGGAAGCTTTCACATCTGTTACATCTCTCTTGTCCAGTGGTTCTTTAGAAGATTTTTAAAGATTTTTCCAATATATTTCAATGTAAACTTTTGATTCCCTATTGTGCCCCACCCTACCCCCAGGAGCCATGATTTGAGCTTTTTACAATCTGCACTACCTCAGGAAGCCTCAATTATATGGTTTCAAACTTTCTGGCCCAGTGTTCTTGAGAAGATTTTTTTCAATGACCACCCTTTTTTTTGCCTTTGTTTGATAATCTCCCCTTTGAAGGGGACTTGGCCCTTCATTTAAATAATTCAGAATCCCCTTGACCCAATGATACTTTGTGCCAACATTGGTTGAAATTGGCTCAGTGGTTCTTGAGAAGTCGAAAATGTGAAAAGTTTACAGATAGATGGATGCCAGACAATGGGTGACCAGAAAAGCTCAAGCTTTCAGCTCAGGTGCACTAAAAATGCAGGAATGGGTAGGGGTTAAAGAATTTACGTTGAATTTCACCTTTATGTGGTGCTTTTTTGTGACCAATCAACATCGGTTTTGGTTTTGAACCATGCATCATTTTAAGTACTTTAATTACAAACAATAATCAAATGATTCTTTCTTGCTTTGTCCCTTTGAATATTCTCTAGCTGCAGAACTGTATTAGCTCTAGGGGGAGAGGGGGATATATAAAAAGATATATGAGTTGAACTAACTTGAATTTCCTCTTCTTGGAAGGAATATACATTAATTTCAGTAATTTGACCAGGGAATTCCCATATAAAGTCTGAACCACTAAACAGTGGATACTAAGTTTCCCAATTCAATGCTTCAAACGCAAAGTGAAAGCAGTGTAGTCAATTCATTTAGTATTCATTTACTGATGATTACATGTATACACATGCACATGTAAAAAAATAATAAAGCCTTTAAAGTAATAATGACTACATATATTTTTAAGTGATAATTACCTATAAGTAATAATAAGATCCATAAACTATAAAATACAAAAAATAAAATTAAAAGAAAAATATTTGGAATGCATTTTTCAAATATTTAAGGTCGTAAAAATTGTGAAAATAATCTAAGGTAAGAATGCGTTTTAAAACAACATAAGCAAATGATTCAAAACACTTGCTAATAACAACCATTCAAAAAATATTTTCCCTTAGATTAATATCTAACAAAAAAAATATGGCACCACACATGAACAAAGTAGGCAAATAGAAAAAATAGAAGTTGCCCCCAATTAAAGTTGGTTTGCAGTATAATGTGAAAATCATTCTCATTATTAAAGGAAAAAAATTCATATCAGTGAACAGACAGATGGTGGATCATAAAAAAAATTTAAAATAAGACCAACAAAGTACCTAAAGTACAGTATACATGCATGTACATGTGTAACCTGAATAAGGATCACAACACAGTCAATCCTTGTTATCTCGAACTCAATTCGTCCGAAATTTTTTTTTTGAGATATCCAAGGATTCAAGATATTGAGGGTGTAAAAACCTTAAAGAAAAAGTGCTTGGGACTTCCAAATCACTTTGACATATCCATGGTATTTGAGATATCTATATTCAAGATACAGAAGTTCAGCTGTATTTCATTTCAAAATTTTTGTTTGCTAAAGTTGTAAAGGGCTATAATCGAAACTTTGATTTCATTTTTTTAAAAACAAGCTAATAAGGAACTTATATAACATGACTTAGTAGCAAAAAACCATATCAGTGGGAATAACTTCCACTGTACCAGGATACTGTAATAATTATTGTGTATTATTAATTCTGAATGTAGTATATCCAAACGTTTTGATTCACAGGGGATATCTAGATGAAAGATAGCATTACAAATTTAACATAAATTTAACAACATCATAAATTTCTGCATTTACACTAGTACCCTCATTTATATCAATAAATTAAAAAATGTATGTCTGACAGTCTCAACATTATACATATATAAAAACAGTTATACACTTGTGGAATGGTAATTTGATAAACCACTTAAAAAGAAATAATTCAGTGCAAAAACAAGATGGCAACAGATTATAACTGCCACAGTAGTTTTTCTTCCAAAGAAGTCAATAAGTATGGCAATTATGCTTGCCCTCCTCTCTTCACTTGCTTTTTCAGGAGCAGATGATAATATGTATGTCATTAAGGACCACATGATGACGCCATAGGACCACATTATTGACATTCGACGTAGGGAAGCTGAAAAATATTAAAAAAAAACATTATTAAATGTAATTTTTTTCCCTACTGTATGTTACATTAACATAGCCAGTAGAACAAAAGAACACAACATTTTAGCAGCAACATATATTTAATAGGTCTAATATTTCAGAGTTGTCTTTCTTTGTGCATGTTGTAAGTTAAAAAGTTTCACTCGTTTGGACAAAATGTAATGATTCATTTAATTGTGACTCCTTTGATGACAAATTACACTATATATAATAACATCTATCTAGAAATGTTAACATATACTGTTGGTCTACACATACAGTAAAAATCTGGCAGGGCGAAAAGTTTTCTTTATTAAAAGATTCTCAAAATCCCCTCACCCCACCAGCCTTATTAAAGCATCACAATCAAAAGGCACTGAAAGGGAATAGTGATCACTGTAATACATATATTTGACTACAATATATATACAACTTACAAAGATATATATCGCTTTCAGATCTAGTGGCAATGTAGTAAGACCCCTGCAGAAGAAACTGTGTAGAGGTCCCAATAAGTGCATCATACAACCTTAACCTCCTTGCATCAATGAAGGCTTGTAAAAAAATGTCTTGGTTTGTGTGAATTTTCTTGCTAAACCATTTACTCACAATGTCCACATCCCTAGAATAAATAAAAGTACACATTAACATTTTTCTGAAAATTATTTTTATTTTATGCTTTGAGTTACTACATGTACCGAAGAGAAAGGGAAAAAAGTATTAATTATCAAGAGTCACTATTAAGACAAATTATATATATATATTTATATATATATATAAAACTAAACTCTCACCACCCTTCTTAAACATATTTAAGACCATTTAACATGTTGTAAATATCATTTTTCCATTCCTAGCAGTTCAAAAGTTACAGAACACTGTAGCTCTCTGAAAAAAAGAATAGACCATAGAGCTACAGTGCCACCCATAGAAAAAAGGGAATATCTATTGCTCACAAAAAGCTGTGCTTGGTTCTGGATTAGTTTCACCTAATTGTTACCTCAACTGCACAAAAGCTTGATTTAAAAAAAATTCCTTATATCTTTATCGACTTCTCTTGTAGTTTACATTTGGGTCTTGCGACCAAAAATAGCAGCATATTTAGGGGCATTTTTGATGGTCTCAATTTCAGCCCCAAAAGGGCTTTTAACAATGGACAGGGGAATGATTTGATATGGAAATACTGTATACAGGGTTATTTTCGCCCCATGCTATTCACCCTCTTACACTTGCAAGCAATTTTGCCCCATTTTAAATTCACCCAATCACAGTTCTACTTAAAGAATTATAATGTGTTCTTTGAATGCGCCCCGTTTTAAATTCGCCCACCTGTGAGTAGGGCAAAAGGGGCGAAAATAAAATGGTGTCAAAACTTTCCCCGTATACAGTAGTAAAAAAATATGTTAGGAACGCACAGTTAATAATATTTCGAGATGGCAGTTTAACTATATAGAAAAAAATCTCACAACAGCATACATTTTTTATGCGCAATAAATACATGCATAAACTTTTTTTCAATGGGTTGGACTGTAGTTCTCTAGCCGTCCATGCCAATTTTTTCAAACCAGTGAGCTACAGATCTGCAGCTAAAAAGATGCAGAGAGTGTGACAAACAGTAGGAAGATAAATAATTGAGAAGTCATCCCTGATTGTCCATTTGATTAGTAAATGACACAAATATTTAGGAAGCCAGTTTTTTTTTTACCTTTGAGTTATTTTTTCACATAAACGTGATAAAATTGTAATAAGACAGGCACCTAAGCACATGGAAAGAGAAACAATTCAGATTTTGATGTAGGCCCTGATTAGTCATCCCCCTTTTTAACATTTAATTTTTGTGGTTACTAATGAATTACTATGTACTATCTGAAATAAACATCATTGATAAAACATGTTGTCCTCTGTCATTTCCACTGTGACTTTGATCTGAACAATTAAAGTTTATTTTTAAAGAAGTAAGAGCCATAAAATGCAAATTGATACTGTCCTTTATGTCCATTTATGTTAAATCCCTTTCTCTTAATTGGCAGTTAGAGATCAACAGTCAATATCATTCTCTCTTAAGACTTCTGAAGAGTCCACGAACATAATGAATTGACTAAAACCTTAATCAAGGCTTAGCCAATAAGCTTGTCATAGTTGGAGAGGAATTTAACAGTCAAAGTGCTCGGACAACTGACTCGTCACTCCTAACCTTTCAGATTTCTTTTTTTTTTTTGAGTTTTGTTATATAGGAAAACTGATATGTACATGTACTCAACTGACTTATCCCATTTCTTTTGATCACATTAATGTAGAGAAATGCTACAACTGTAAAATTTTCTCAATGGTACACGGTTCAAGAAGTGATAAATACCCATTCAACAATAATCAATTTTTAAAGTCTCTCTTCTGCATCTGGTTTCTTTTGAGAAGTCACTGAATTGGGATAAAGTTCATCAAGTCAATGCTGGTCTATTGATTTCGAAAGAGAGTGTACACTGAATCCAAAACCTCTTTCTATTTTTACCAAAAGTTTTTTTTTAAACAACCAACTTGATAAAATCCTGTTAACAGCTATAGCTTCTACTGACAACTACAGAAAATTGCAATGACTAATGAAGTGCTGTACATATGTACATGTAAACACTATGCAGTATTTTCTCCCAAGAACCGACTACCTGTCAAATTGACCACTTCAATCAATACAAATACAGCTTAGAATTTTATTGTTGGAAGGTCCACAGTTTGTTCATAAACTGATATATATAAGCCTGCAGGCTGCTACAATTGATGTCTAACCCTTTACTTTGAAATAAAGGGAAAACACTGAACACGCATGCTTACCTTGACAATCCTGGGATCAGAAATCTGGCAAGAAGACAAAGGAAGTACCCAGGAGGAGATCTGGATAATTTTCCGTCCTGAATCAACCAGTATGTGCTCAGGCATCCTGTAACTAAACAGGCAGCTATCATAACGGACACTGTAACATTGAACTCGTGGTACATTTCTCTCTTGTGGTACTCAGTGGCCAAAATAATGTCACAGTCGAATGACACCAAGAATAAAATGATGGCGACAAGTGATGCAACGTATCGCCAGTTATTATTGAAAGTATCTTCCTCATGTTCATGTTTTTCCTCCACGTCCATTATTTTTTCAATGAAACTACAGTCTTGTTATCATCGCGATCATTAGGGAAAGAAAAAATTCCTGCATCTCTAGGTTCACATTGTTTACTCCGGATATTGAGAAAGTAATATAAAAGTTGAGGCATAAACCGACTAACGACCAATTCGGATTACTCTATGAGAATATTCTAAAAACTTGTCTGACCCATTTAAATGATAACCTATATCTTAACAAATTTTCAAAAGAGGTAATTTACAATTGTACCCAGACCCACCTGTACCCCTTTCCAGAAACGACGGCCTTAGTCTCAGGAACTTGACGTGATTTTAATACATGTATTAGGTCTGGGGTTATACTTTTATTAGGTAATGGGGTGATATATATTTTTTTATTAAGAAAGATATGTAACACAAGTGCCTTTGGCCTTCGTGTAAACATGATAAAGTTTGTACCCCGACAAAAACGGTCACACATTTTCGAGTAAGTGTACACTCAGGAAAAAAATGAATTACCTACATGTCCATGTTCCTATACTTGCAAATAGATCCTCAAACATATAGATTTTAGTCGTTAAAAATGTATTACCCATGTGTATCTCATCAGTACCGATCATATTTTAGGAATCACCCATATCATGTTCATGTATCCTAGTTCCTCAGATTCAGAAATTTTATTCCGTCACTCTTTAATGGCTTTATAATTACTTTCTAAAAAATACAAGTAGTAAAACTTCCAATGATTTTTATGTTTATAAAATTAAATTATACGGCTTCGCCTCGGTCAATATTGATATTTTTCTGGTGAATAACAAACCATATTCACCACCGAAAGAGTCCATAATTGTATATTTTAAAATTACTCGATTTCTGCTATATTTAGGCTGTAGGTCAAGATCTAGTAAATGAAAAATGCCTAGAAAGATTTCTCAAATTTGAGAAAAGAGTGCCTTTAATAATCCATTACAATTATAGTTCAATAAATCAAGGTGTATCTGGATTCCGGACATAGTTTTAAGGTAAAATCAATGAAAAAATTTTAATATGCCTTTTTCATTGAAAAATTTAAAAAAAAAATCAGGTATAAACATGAGAATTTTCTCCATCTCAGAAAAAGGAAATGTATCTTTATTGCCTATACAGTCTCTCGGGAAAAACTGTTTTTCATATCTTTTCGACCTCTTCTTTAAAATGATATTACATATTTTCCCTGTCCTGGGATTATTTGAACATTCTTATATATAAGCTTAAGGACAGACGAGACCTTCCTTGAATATCTTATTTTGTATCTCTTTGTAACGTGCCAAAAATATTTATAATTCTTTTTATCTTGTGATTTATAAACTTTTTTCAAATTGCTTTAAAAGATACAAACACCAAAAATTGTGATTCAAGAAATTTGAGTAATATCAAATAGGATTATATAGGAAATACAATCCTCTGGTATTTAGCAAAATTGCCTGGTAATGCATCTCAATTTTTTTGCGAGGAGACATGTTAATGTCACTCTCAAAATCTTGGGAAAAATTATATATTATGGCGGAACGTCTCGTCTGACCTTAAGGTATTCTGCCCATTCAATGAATTTTGTTGCACAATATAAAGTAATGTTATATTACTCAATATATTTAGACAATTATAAATACTATGTAATAGATTTCAGTTAGGGGACACAGCCAAACATTTTCAGTTGTGGGGGGAGGCACTATGTACCAAGCAAAAATTCCTTGACAAGCAAAGGAAAAAAAAGTAATCAGACGTTATTATTGAAAGGCAAAATATTTGGAGCCCCCCCCCCCCCCCTCCCATGAGTTCGTACGGCCATGCTGTAAAGATTGAATATGCCCTAAATTATGATTTTGGCCTGTCCTTGTAGAGTTATCTCCCTTTGTTTTTCTATTCTAAAAAAATCTATCCAAATATCCAATTAAAAAAATCTTTTCCAACTGAAATGTTATTCTTAATAATAAGATTTTTCACCATGAACTTTGTTTGCATTCTTTGTATTTATTTTTTTTTCATTATTATCATTTTAAAAGTTAACTTATCTTCATAGTTCTCAATGCAACCTTCGTTGATTAATTACTCCTTAGGTAATAAGATGTATATTTTTGAAATTTTCGATTCTCTTGGTAAAAATGTTTTTGTTGAATGCCAGAGTAACTTACTGTATGTAATATAGACCTAGTATGGATGGAATACCTTAAGATTCGTCTCCTTTATCTTTAGTGTTTTCAGAAGAAAAAATAATGAATTCACCAATAAAAACGTTTCCAATACATTTAATATAAAGCAGTATAGAGAAATGTCAATGTCAAAGAAAACATTTATTACAGAGAAATGTTTTTTGGTCATGTTTTGATAATTTAATAAATTACTCGCGTATTACACGTGCAGTAAATTTTGATTCTGAAATCACACATTATCACTAGGTTTGTACACATTTTGCATCTCTTCATTGTGATTGCATGTACACGTACGCGAAACTTTAGGATGACAAAGTGTATAATACATTATCATGAACAGAGTACATAGCACAACCCCTGATGAAGCCACAGATATTGTGGCTATATATACCCAGCTAGACTTATCTACGTCACCCCAAAATACAAACAGCGCCACCATAACAGCGTTTTCTACATGGAACAAAGAGTAATATGCTATGGCAAGCACTCGAGATTTGTCTCGACTCAAATTCATGAAGGATATGATTTGCACAAAGCCGATGAACACAATGAATAAAATGTTGTGTAATGTTCTTTTATAAGCCTTGACATTTTTGAAAAATGCAACAGTTATCATAACCATCCAATGGAATAGAACACCAAATATTACGTAGTACGGACCGTTTCCTTCGATTGATATCAACATCACAATGGCTGTAATTCTCGGTCCGATCTCGAACACTCGCCAAAGGAAGTATCCTACAGCTCCACAGTATGTGTTTGCTTTCAAACCGGAAGTTGCGTTAAAGATACGCAGTGCTCTGTTGTATCCCGTCACAGACCATGCCAGACCTGCTAAAGACGATGCTATGGTAACAGCTCGCAGAATTTCTGTAATTAAACAAAATTTGATTAATTTAAATAATCTCTAAGTTTTTATGAAATCAGTCTTGCTTCAATAGATATTAAAGAACACCTTTTTAATCATACATGTCTATCAAAATAAATTTCGAGTTTTTGATAATAATTTTATAAATATTATTAAATATTCTTTCAAATTCGAACTTACATGATAACTATGATAGATGCATGTATAATGAAAGACCCTTTAAAGCTACATTGAAGGAAATGATATATAATCTTGTTAAGACACTGTCACGATTCCTGGAAAATTATTCCTATTCAACTTTAAAGAAAATTACGAATTTAAGATTCCAGGGGGGTGGGGGTGGGAGATACCTATACACTTCAAAACACCTAGATTTCAGTCCTATTAAATGTAAAAGTATGAAAAAAATATTTTGCTAGAGTTGATATTTTCAGTTTGTATTTAAAAACACATTAAGAGTATTTTTTTAAGTTTTCACGCATTAAAGTATTCAAAAACAGATCTAGAACTTTTAGATTTTATTAAAATAGTTGGATGCAACAAGTGTAGTACATTTTATGTAGAAATAAAAAAAAACCCAGCAAAATATTACTTATGAACAGCCGATAACTGCTGTTTGACAATGATTTCAAAAGACAACACAACATTTTGCTGGAGACTATAAAATATATAGTGTTGTCAAATCGGACGATTTTTAGTAACCGGTTACTCGCTTACTTTTCCGATCGAGTAACCGGTTACTCGGGTGGTTTTTCTTTAGGCCTCAAACATCCTTTTTCGCGGTGTATATACTGAATGGTAACTGAAATACATTTTATATATGTAACATCGTTACCATTTCTATATAAATCATCATTTGTATATACCGGTATATATAAAACACAAATGCACTGCTTATGAACTTTATTCTTAACAAGCATTCTGAGAGTATTGCATTAGCAATACTAGTCCCCTACCGGCAAGTGTAATCTGGTTCCCGTTAAAAATTGAAAATGCCATAATTCCATCAAAAATCAATGAAGCGGAACGAAATGTATACTTAAACTATAACTCATCAAGGTAAAGTCACATACCAAAAATTAGCTCAATATCTGCAAGCGTTTAGAAAAAAAGTGCGGAAAACCAAGTGGGACAGACAGACAGACAGCTAGACAGACAGACGGACGGACAGTCTCAGAGGAAACCTATAGTCCCCTCCGGTTTCACCGGTAGGGGACTAATAACAAACCCACAGTATTAAATACTAGTATCTTCTGAATAATATTTCCTCGAACACCCCGTAATAGTTTGCTGTTTTGCGGGATGTCGTTTATATAATATATCGCTTGTTTCAGAGTTAATTTTCAATTTTAGGTGGTTTAGCATATTCGGTGTCCGACCCGTGCATGTTAATTCCCAAAATATGTTACACCTTACGGATTTAAATTCAATCATTTTTAAAAATTATTTTGATGCATATGGCGGCGTCCTCTTTAATCTTGTACTGCGGACTAGCTCAGATTTGTGTGGAGTAATTATAATGAACTCAAGCCTTCAAAACTTGTATACCCCTTGGCAATGAAAGCCGCCTATTAGATAAACTGTGAAATACTTATCAAAACACATTGTTCATATTTGTAAAACGCTAGGTCTATAGTCTATTGTTAAATGACAGTAAATAAAATAAGGAAAATTAAAAACAAAATTACACTTTTCCCTGCTGATTTAAACATGTTAAAATGTAAAAATTTATATATCCGAGTAACCGAGTAGCAGTTTTACTAACCGATACTCGCATCGTTCGACGGTTAACCGGTTAACCGGGTACTCGTTGACAACACTAAAAATATACAAATAACGGAAAGAGAATAGATATATATCCCTGGAGTTGTTGGTATACTAGTACATGTAGCCATCTACCTATTCCCCGTTCCATCATAAAATTGACCAATTTTAATAAAATTTCAGCTTTGTTCATTCTTTGATGGATCAGTTGATTTCGAAAAATTAATATTTATAATTGAAGGAGAAATACACGCTCTGGCACAAATAAACATTTTTTCCCCTTTACTTACGTAAGTGTAATTCTTCTTGCGGCGTGTCATGGATAGCAATGTAAACCTGGATGATCAGCTGAGGAGCGGATTCAAAAAAGGCGTCGAACATCCGTAGAAAACTGGCATCTATATCATTCTTTATCATTCTATTGTAATGTTTCTTTTTATCAGTGGATCTGCGACTTAAGAATCCATGTTTTAAGTAAGAGAAGTTTCTGAAAAAAGAACACAGTGCTTTAATCGTATCGAATTTGGATAAGATGAGACAAGGACTGCGTAAAGAATAATTGCGAATGAATAACGTATCTAGATCCTAGTATCTTTGAATTTCACCTATAACAGTGTATATATACTTTAGAAGTAAAACATTTTAAAGTCACTGACTAAAGTTCTTGAATGTGAGTTATTTAAGGGTCTCCCTGTGATCCAAAATGGCACTGATTTTAAAGCTGCGATACACTACCTGATAATGGTAGAAAATGGGAAGGCCACAACAAGAAACAAAAACTTTCCAACTTTTCCTACAGGTCCACTTCCGTCTTGTAAGTACCAAACCGTGCTTAAGGACCCTGCCACCAGAAATGACGCAACCACAACCGATGACGTGAGTGCACACTCTACCATTCTACCGTGATTTTTGTATTCCATAGCTAGAAGAATGTCCGTTACAACGTCAAAGACAAAGAGTACTATTGAAACAACGACACCAAGAAAGTCCAAAATGGTAAATGGATAGATTTGGATATTGTTTTTATCATCTATGGCAGTGTTATCACCCGAGTTATCAATAAGTGTGATGTTTTCATCTCGGAGCCCCACCATATTTCTCAGCATAATTTCTCTCCTACTTTGATCACTCTCTCCATTTTCTCTCGATTTCTCGCCGACATCGACACAATCTACAGGGTCCACAGCCGGATAACTTTTATGTTGTCCGATTAGGTTGTCCTTCTCACCTTGATTCATTTGTTTTGCACGAAATCCAACCATATTGTCTACTTCATCCTTGTTCCCTGTTTCTTGTTTCTTTTTTGATTTTAACTCCTTCATTGTGTCACAATTTGTCTGTAATTAAAATTTAGTTTGGGGAAAGTCTCATGGAAATATTTAGCGAGTTTCGTTTTAGAACTATTTCCTACTGTAATCTATATAAATCAGTTGTTTAAGATTAGGGGAACCTATGAATAGATTTGTATACCTATATTATCTGTACTGCCCCACTGAATTCAATGTTGACAACAAGATTGGGATTTAATGTCGAAATTTAGATTTCGTGTAGTTTGCATTAGATTTTAAATTACAGACACTCCTATCTAAAAACATATATTAGATATATTAATTACTATGATAATCAGTTTCGTACTTCATATATACAGTGCAATGTCTCTATAGGTTTTAAAAACTTTCATATCGCCTAGCTTGTTTATTTATATAGGACCAGAATAATGTTTTAATCTTTCAGTGGCAACTGCGCTGCTTGCACAACTACTAGTATACATGTATTTGATGTTTATTTTGATTGGGAAGTTTCATTTAAATTGTCTGAGCCATCTGTGAGAACTTCTGCAGACAAAATTAGGTTGAACAATAATAATTATATGTTCTCCGACCTCGTTCAGGATGATATGATAAGAAGTTCAAAAGAGTTGTTTTTTTTTTCCAAATAGTTTAAAAGCATTAATTATATCCTTTGTACATGTACATAGAGACATTATAAAGGTTTACTTTTGATTGGTTATTTAATTCATAATAATTCTTTCCACAGAAAAATGGTATAATTAAGGATAAATAACACAAGTTTTTATAAGCCCCCGTATCGAAGATTCGGGGGTATATAGTTTTTGCCCTGTCCGTCCATCTGTCTGTTTCTCCGCAAAAACTTTAACCTTGCCCATAACATTTGATTGCTTGGAGCTATGACTTTTATATTTCACATGTGTATTCCTTGTTTCAAGACCTTTCTTTGGGTACCATCATATTTGACCTTTTACCTTCACCACAACTTTTGAACAGTTGGAGCTAGGGCTTTCAAATTCCACAGGTATATTCCTCGAGACAAGACCTTTCTTTGGGTGCCAACATTTTTGATCTCTTGACCTGGAGTTTGACTTGCATTTGAGAAACTTTAACCTTCGTCATACGGGAACATCAGTGTTTCACAAACACATCTTGTTTTTTCAAATATACCAGCAATATATCTAATAAATTTATATTCATATAGATGACTTGAGTAAAGTTTGTCAGAGTAAGTATGGAAATTTTGTAGGATTTTGTAATAAATTAATGTCATAAAATGTGACCAAAATTTTGTGTAGATTTATATAGAAAATGGTATAAAGTCGCATATTTAAATACCAAAGAAAAGATACGATTTCTTCATATTTTAGAAATTACTATTTTAATTATGTCATTTCTATTCAAAATAAGTAAAATAATTACATAATTATATCAATCCTTTTTTTTTCTTAGCTATTCATAATTGAAAATATACAGAATTCTAAACAAAATACACTGTTATAGGTTTAAAGAACTTCCAAGCGACTGAGTGATGACAATTTAATATAAGCTGGTTATAATAACAATCATGTATATCATTGCTATGAAAAGATTCGCAATGCCAAACGCATTTCTTGAATCCTATTAATTCTATGAATTATGAGCTGAGTATTTGTTAAGAAGATTCAAATCTACTATTAGCACATTTATATTGATAACATGGGGAAGTATAACAGGAAATGCCCTAGTCCTGAAAAGTACAGTAGTCCTCAGTTCACCGATACATGTTCGTATTTACACTGCCTTTGAACTGATGCACTGCTACGCTTGCTCTGCTAATTCTACGTCTCCATTGCCACTTCTGCATGAACGTGCTACTTTGGGGTGACAAAGTGTGTAGTACATCAGCATGAACAGAGTACATAAAACGATTCCAGATGAGGCCACTGATACTGTGGCTAAATATACAAAACTGGACTTATCTACGTCACCCCAAAATACGAACAGCGCCACTATCACAGCGTTTTCCACGTGGAACAAAGAGTAGTATGCTATGGCAAGAACTCGAGATTTTCCTAGGCTCAAATTCATAAAAGATACAATTTGCACAAATCCGATGAACACAATGAATAAAATGTTGTGTAGCTTTCTTCTATAAACTCTCACATTTTTGAAAAAAGCAACAGTTATCATGATCATCCAATGGAATAGAACACCAAAAATTATGTAGTACGGACCGTTTCCTTCGATTGAAATCAACATCACAATGGCTGTGATTCTTGGTCCGATCTCGAACACTCGCCAGAGGAAGTATCCCACAGCTCCACATTTCGTATTGGCTGCCAAACCGGAAGTTGCATTAAAGACACGGAGTGCTCTGTTGTATCCCGTAATCGACCAAGCCACGCCCGCTAAAGAGGATGCTATGGTGATAGAGCGCAGTATTTCTGTAATATGGAAACTATTTTATTTTATTCAAGTTTCTGATTTAAGTCAACTGACACATAAAATTAATAGGAATACTCTCTTTTGCATATGAATGACAGGAGAAAACAATTTCAACAAAATACTAGGGATGTCGACGAATAGTCGACTTTTCGACTATCAGTCGAATGGACCGACGATCGAATAATGAAACGACATTCGAATATTATCATAATTAAATAAATGCAATAAAAGAGTGATAACGTGATGGAATTCTCATCACAAAATTGAGAAACCGTCTTTCCTCAGAGACAGTCGATAAGAAAATTTTCCTCAACAAAAAACGGTTGATTTTCCATGTACGTATAGAAAGTACAGTAATTATAAGTGCTTCACTACTGTCGCGTACTGCGGGAATTATTTATCAGTAACTGCCTGTGTTGTTTTTGTAATTAATTACCCATCAATTTACTAGGCTTTGTTTGTAAAATTATAAATTGGACTGGATCTTATACCATGTACCAATTATTTTTTGTTATTTTAAGATTGCTCAAGCGCAAGGAAGAACCATAACTGTGACATGTTTTGACACTTCGATAATTATCAAAACAATTCGCTTACATTTTAAACTGTATAAGGACATTTTGATAGCCAGAGCAAACAATAATCGAATAAGCAGTATCTAACTGTTTAACAATTTCACAGGCACTTGACATGTGGATAGTTTGAGATTAACCCCCCTCCCTCAATGTATTTCATAATAATCTTTAAAAAATATCTCCTGGCAATTTTTTTTCTTTGCTTACTTAAATAAAACCTGGCTGCATGTACAAACCCAATTATTAATTCTATTGACGGGGAAATCATACATTTTGGAAAATTAGGTTTTGAAATTCAAATAATCATGCTCTCCACGCGTTACGTTGCATAAATTTTGATGTTACTTTTTAAATAGATTTAAGTAAAAGGGTTTCTGAATTATAAATAAATCATGTACCAGTGAAGTTTCAAATACAATTTTATTTTCAGGAAATGTTCCGAATATATTCGACTATTGTTCGAACAATGCAATCGAATAATCGACGAAGGAAAATAAATATTTTGACATCCCTACAAAATACATATCATAATACAGATGTCTCCAGAATAGTTTGAGCATAAAAAAATTCGCGGGTTGAAAGTTAACCACTGCCATATTCCTTTCGGTAGCAAACCACTCAAAATGCCAATCTGCAAAACATATAACTGTAATAAAATCTAGAGGAACTGTGAGCACTGAGCTCACACAATTATACCTCCGCCTCCCATATATTTAAAATGGCAAAGTCCATGTTTTTCAACGAGAGACACGAAATGAGTATCCGATCAAAAAGTAAAATAGGAGGTCACAACGGCACTATGTAACAAAGATTATGTGAAAGTATCATTAAATTAGGAGGAGTTGCGGATAAGAGATGGGTTCCTCTCAAAATCATTAAAACATAGGTAAGGCAAATTTCATATCATATTCTTTTTTTAGTTAGTGTACATCCCAAGATCAATATCCATGCAAGTTTGGTTTATGTACGACTTATAGTACTTGGAAATAGACCTGATCAAAAAACGTTTATCCTGTTTACTTATCAAGAAAATTTTGGTCAGTTCCAACATCCAAAGTGTGTCTGGAAGTTTTTATCCTTAGATGCACCATCTATGCAAGTTTAATCATAACAGGCCATAATGTTATATATATAGCTACTCCAAAAAAACTATCCTGGTCACTCCTCAGGAAAATGTAGGTCAGATTCAGAATCCAAAGCAAGTCTGGAAGTGACCAATCCTAGCTACATCATCCATGGTAATTTGGTTAAAATATGGCTTAAATTCAATCATGTGGAAAAATCTAGGTCGAATCCAGCATGCGAAGCAGGTTGGTTAGCATACATCCCTAGATGCATCATCCATGCAAGTTTGGTCAAGGTAAGGCTTATAGTTACTTGGGAATGGACATGCTCCAAAAACTTTCACATGGTCACCCATCTGGAAAATCTAGATGAGATCCAGCACCCGAAGCATGTGTGGTAGTGTCCATCCCTAGATGCATCATCCATGGGCTTATATTACTTGGGAATGGACTTGCTCTTAAAACTTTAACCGGGACGCCGACGCTAACGCCGACGCCGGGGGTATAGCATAAGCTCATCTCGACTTCGTCGAGGTGAGCTAAAAACGGCATTGTCTATGTTTTGCTATTGGAAACTCGAAATATGCGTCCGATCAAAAAGTAAAATAGGAGGTGCACAATGGCACTATGTAACAAAGGACGTTCAGACAGACGGACGGACGACTAGACTTTTCAAGCGGGGGGTATAACAATGTGCGTAGTAAGAATTTTTTGAAATGGGAAAAATTGCAAAGACATTAGAGAGAGAATCAACTGGAAGCATTACACACACTGAATATTAGTGTCGGGTAAACATTGGAGAAGTAAATCCATATTTAATACAGAGATTAAAGTGGTGTTCTAAATTTTTCATTCCAAAGAAAGTAAAATCAAGAAATCTTCGGAAATCAAACCCTAGTATAAATCATCACTCTGATAGGATCTATTTATGAACCGGGCCGAAATTTTAAATTTTCCTCTAAAAGTAATTGTAAGTCCACAGAAAAAAGTTTTTAAAAAAATAACTATTCTGAGATATTTTCAACTTATTCGTATTAACTATTAAGTCAGTTTAGCTACTATATATAGTTCAACGTTAACTGACGTTTTTCTTACCTAAATACAAAGTTTCTTAAGGCGGGGTGTGGATCGTAATGTAAATCTGGATAATTAGTTGTGGAGCGGATTCAACAAAGGCATCAAACATACTTAATAAGCAGGCATCCGATCTGTCCTTTATCATTCTGTTGTAGTGCTTCTGTTTATCAGTAGACTTACGACTTAGATAGCCATGTCTGATGTACGAGACTTTTCTGAAAGAAATTGGAACATAATTTATTTGATTTTCAGTTTGACAAGAAGAAAATGACCAAACAAGAGGTTCACGGTTACAATACTCGCATAATTCACCTTTAATTCTCTCTTTTTGAAAAATAAATAAACGAAATGTATACAGTATATAAATGGAACCTCTAAATGTCGCTTCCAAGTTAATATTCCGTGATTTTATAAAATAAATTTTGGAAACAACTTTTTAGAGGTTTTATTTAAATATACATTATGTATCTACCTGAAAATATTCATGTTTCAAGGAAATTAAAATGACAGTCCAACTATGGACAAAAAGTATCCCAGATGAGTTTTACAAGTTACGTAAAACAAGAAGAGGGTATTTTTGATGATAGCATCCAAGTACAGTTTTGGGATTACAGGCATCTGGATATTTCAATATGTTTACCTAAGAATCGTAGCAAATGTAAATGCTACTATGATGAAGAGAGTCTTCGTTATTCTTCCTTTAGGTCCACTTCCGTCTTGTACATACCAAATCGAACTCAGTGTTCCCGCCACCAGAAATGACGCAACCACCACTGATGACGTAAGTGCACACTCCACAGTTCTACCATGATCCTTATATTCCAGAGCAAGTAGAATGTCGGTGATAACGTCAACTGCAAATACTGTTATAGAAACTGTAGCACCAAGAAAGTCCAAAACGGTAAATGGATAAAGTTGAATGTCGTTTTTGTCACCTTCAGCAGTGTCTTTCTTATCAATGATTAGGGTGGCTTTTTCATCTCTGTTCCCCACCATACTTCCCAGCATTCTCCTCGGCGCCTTATAATCTTTAAATTGATCACTCTGCCCATTCTGTGTCGTTGTTCCGCCAGAATCGACACAGTCCTCAGTTTCGTTGTTCTCATCAGGATCCTTTTGTTTTCCACGAAAACCAACCATATTGTCCACTTCATTTTCCTCCGTCTCAAATGTCTTCTTCTTTGACGTCTTCATTTTTGATTTTTAGTTGAAAATATTATTTTATCCCTCCTGCTTAATTTTTTAAAACAAAAGTGGAAATTTCGAGAGTATACTTCTGTTTTCAATTCTTTTACTGAACCTGAACTAGTCAAAGGCGCTTTCATATGCTTGCATCTATTTATAGGCTAAAGTACATCAACTTTTTAAACTGTTAAAAACTCTCAGATGAGTGTACATAACGTATAAGCACAGTATATGTAATGTATATATGTTTTAACATACTCGAGCACATTCAATTATACCCAAATTAACGTTATGTGGGCTTACACTGTAAACCTATAGGGTTTAGAACGAACATTTCATTTGAACAGTTAAAACTTTGAATATGTATTTATATCATAATTATTTTAGTTATTAATACTGAACTGATCAGTGACAGTAAAATAAAATCAAATTTGTTAAACCAGGATGTAAATTAATGGTGTACCAAATACAATGACTGGAAAAATAAAGAGTATTAACTCTACTATCAATTAAAACATTTTTGTGACGTCATTCTTTTGTTTCTACAGTCTATAATATAATAATAATAATGTCCTTTATTTATACAGGATAGCACAATTAGTTTGGAGAACTAGTTTACATTGTGGTCCTGAAAACGTTTATAACAGACAGAAAGAGTATGTACAGAAACAAATAAATATTATAGAATATGAAAAAAAGCGTGGTCTAATAAAAATAATATTTACACATGATATAATGTAAAACTCAAGTCTCATATTTCAAAGCATTTACTGGTCTAGTACAATATTATTTTCAGGAGTACAGTATTATATCTAATATTGTACTCCAAAATAATACTGGACTGTGTGAAAAGGTTGACGCACCTAGCTTTTAGACAACGAATGAATAAGGCCACAAAGAGACAAAAAATACATGTATTTATATTAATATATAGAAATCAACATCTCGTAATCCAATTCAAGCTATACAGAAATCAATTTAACATCTCGTTATTCAATTCAAGCTATATAGAATCCAGTTCACGCTATATAAAAATCAACATCTCGTAATCCAATTCACGCTACATGTATATAGAAATCAACATCTCGTATTCCAGTTCAAGCTATATAGAATCCAATTCACGCTATATAGAAATTAAGATCTTGTAATACAATTCAAGCTATATGGAATCCAATTCACGCTATATAGAAATTAAGATCTTGTAATACAATTCAAGCAATACAGAATCCAATTCACGCTGTACAGAAATCAACATCCCATAATCCAATTCAAGTAAAGAAACTTCCAAAGTAGGAATATCCCAGAAATACCTTTATACTAGGGTCACTGATTGTGGAACTACCGGTATGGAAGCACATTTAATATAATCGAGTTATCACTTATTATTAAATCTATGTTATTTCCGAAATCACATCCAAATAAATCCACGTAAAGTGGTTCACTCAAAAGTGTTAGCATTCAGGGGAAGAAAAAGCGACCTGAAAATATAGCCCATGTAACTTCGAATTTTTCACAGAAAATTTAATTTCAATATATATTTCATAATTAATTTACTTAAAGATGTGGCGCTGTCGATGTCCAAGGGACAAAACGACGCTTTCCTGGAATATTTGCCTATGATCACTAAACATAAACTTTATCTGTTAAGAAGAGGATCCTTCACAATACTCTCAGAATCGCTTAATTTTATGAAATTGCTCAGCTCTTTTCAACGTATCCGTAGAGTGCCTCAACGATAAATATGATTGAGGTTCAATGAGGGTTTTTCATGAAAAAAGCTATTAATCCCGTCTTAAACCCATAAGCGTCCCATCCATCTGGTTTGGTCGCCGTACCCAATATCGTATTATGACAATAACCAACACAAAAGAACATTGAAAGAATTTTTTAAGTAAGATACAAAACTCAGATGGTCTATTATGCCAGATACGGTGCTCCGAACCTCGTTCCAGTCCCGTACATGTATCTGACATATTAACCATCTTGTTTTGTATCCCTTACATACAACACAACACAAACATACATTGCCTGACAGCCAGCCGTGATAGCTGGACGCCCGTAATTTATTTATGTGCTACATTACTTTAATAATATACACATAAACAAACAAAATGCAGAAAAAAAACGTAATGCTGACCTTTGTAACACTGCAAAATTTTAAAAAACATGACCAATATCTTATACTTACGTGTAACGACTGAAGTATCCCTTTAAATAGCATCAAGACCGGCCAGGCAAAAACTATATTATAGATAACTACAGTGTTCCAAGTTTGAACGCATGTGTCGCCTGCTTTGTAGCTTCATTAAAGATGTAAATAATTTTCAACTATTTTTTTAATACTAGTAATTGCCTGCAAAGAAAAAAAGCATCCACGGATAGTATTAGACTGCGATAAAATCTGACGATCAAAGAAAATATGGTTCTTCAACCCTCGAATGAAAAATTAAATTGAAAGGATTATTATTAGAAATAATTATTTATCATTTTATTAATACCTGTTTCCAACAATCCTCCAAAAGAGATTTAAGAATAGTCAGTCTACACGATTCATTGTGGAATATCAATCCCGATGTATTTTATAGTATTTAAGTATAAGTTTGTGCGATAACTGAATATCATACAGTTTCAAAGTACAGTATTTTGAGCTCATAAACATGTATAAATGCTAACTACCAAAACCCTGCCTCTCAAAATTCAAAAGTTATACTTTGAATTAAACTGCTGGAGTATTTTTTTGCAAAGTAGGTCAAAGGTTAAGGTCAAGTTGTAACTCTGTGTTTTTTTAAATGTTTTATGTTAAATAGTGCACATGCTCAATACTACAGACTTACCTCTTTAATATAAAAAATATGCTGTATATCGGCCCTATGAACTATTTTAAAAGTAGGACAAAAATCAAGGTCAACGGTCACGAGATCGGTAACCATGGTAATTAACGAAAGCCATGGTGCCAAGAAATATATAAATATCAAATCCATACCTCTTACAGTTCTCAGATATAGGGTGTGATAGACGGACAGACAAATAGCTAGACAGAGACAGACGCCGGGTAAAGTGATCCCTAAGTGTCGCACTGCTCCGCAGGCGACACAAACACGATGAAAATTGATGAAAAAAAAACCCTCTAGAAACCTGTGTCCGCTGCTCTCCTCACAAAGCCTTGGCATACATGGTGCTGTCAAAAGACGGGAATATTTACGTCATGTGATCTCGAAGCACAGATCCCGTCATCGAGAGAATAATTAACAAGAAGGTATTTGAAGTACTGATAAGTAAACTAGCTTAGGGCAACAGCTCCTGTGGTGATGAGATTGGGACTGAGTCCATAAATTAATATTACAATCAAGGGTTTATCCCTAAAGGTTGGAGTGCCATGTTGGGCTTCGTTGGTCAACGGACAGAACTAAGGATAAAGCACATTATATGTAGGCGGCAAGGCAATTGTAGGATAGACGATAAAAAATTACCATGAATACCCTCTGAGTATGAAATACCCTCTTTGTTGGGGGGGAAAAACGCACCTTCTTAAAATTCTAATATCTCTCTTCCTCTTTTTGTTCTCGCTCTCAGCTCTTCTTAAATGTTTTGGCAATTTTTGGATTAATCTAAAAAAAATTTTGTATGTTTAAAGTGTATTGCCTTATTCTGATGAAAATGCAGGATTTACACACAAAAAATATGTAAGAACACGTTGAATTGATAAACTTTTGAAAAAGATACACAATCTTATTTTTGGCTTACAACACAATGTAATCTTGAATTTTAGTTTCTCTAAATACACAAACAGTTTGTTAAATGAATTGTAGTTGTCAATTAAGTTTGAAAAAAACTGTCCATTCTCAGTTAGATCGAATGCAGCTTTTGTTAAAGAAAATAAAACATGCAAATTATATACACAATTTACAAAGAACATTCTCAAACAAATTGACCGCAACTGACCTAAGTCGATAAAAAAAGGGTAGCAACTGTTCCTCCGCCATGCGCTCGGCACTTTGAAGTGAAAGTTGCGTGTCCTTCGGATGAGACCTTAAAAACCGAGGCCCTGTGTCACGGCAGGCGTTGACACGATAAAGATCCCTCACTGCTCAATGGCCCTGAGTGCCGAGTAAAGGTCAAAATTTGAAGCCCTTCACCGGTATATGGTGACGTCTCTATATGAGTGAAAAATTCTCGAATTGGGACGTAAAACACATGCAATCAAACAATCATACAAATTGAATACCACTTTGCATATTGAACACGATTTGTACTCATGATTTTCTGTCATCACAATAAATTCCACACACAACACCAACATGAAAAATGTAATGTTCGTTACATTATCATTTTCCATTTGTTTCACTTACGACTAACAAATGAAAGATTATGATATGTGTTCTTCATTTGATGGGTTTTTTTTTTCAGTCAACAGCCCTCGACTGGGGATTTTTGTGCGAACAGAATCGACAGTTTTTGGTTTCTTTACTTATAAGAGACTGTTCTCACAAATATTCATATATTCATTGACCTGAGGTCAAGCTCTTGAAAACGAGGCTAAGATATTTCTTTTTTCCGGTATTCGATATAGTTTTCTATTCATATTACAGTAAATTTTAGGTTAGTCATTCCAGTTATTCAATATGAAAAATAAAACATCGCAAATATATTCCATACTTTATCATATTATTACACGTTTTTACTTTTAAGTCAAACAACATGGAGTCGCCCGCGTGGCGCAGTGGTTAGAGCGTCTGCTCTAGAGTCGCGGAGTAAGGAGTTGATCCTTACGTCGCGGGTTCGAATCCCACCGTATAGACCGTATAAACCGAGGTCCCGTGTCGCGTACCCCCAATAATTTTGCAGATATATATCTGCAAATCAATACTATAGAAAACATTGTTACTTTATGCTTGTGCCCTCTCAGTAATAACGTCTGATGACCTTTTTTAGCTAACCTGTCCGTCCTCCGTCTGTCTAGCTGCCTGTTCGTCCGTCTGTAAACTTCTCTCATTTTCGACTTCTTGTTTGAAGGGGATTCAAATTTCTTCAAATGAAGGACCAAGCTCTTTTCCAAGGGGAGATAATTAAGAATTAGTAAAAAATTGGTTGCATTCTTTTCAAAATCTTCTTTTGAATTCAATTTATTCTCTCAAAAACCATGTAAATGGTACATCAGGTACATAAACATATAAAAACATAAATACATATAATATAGTTGGTCAGGCAAAAGGTGAGATTAATTGAGCTAGCTAAGGAGAACAGACAATTCTATTCATTTAAGTATTAAATGTACATAATTTTTCAAAGATTTAACATATCTTTTTGACACATGACTTCACAAAACTTTATGGCGATGGCAAACACACTTTTTGAATCCTTTTATCTGTGAATTATGCATGAGATGAGTATTTGTTAAGAAGATTCGAATCAACCAATAGCACATTTCTGTTGATACATGTAGCATTGGGAATTAATGCATAAAAATGTTAAGTATTACAGGAAATGCCCTAGTCCTGAAAAGTCCCCAGTACAGTAGTCCTCGGTTCACTGATACATGTTCGTATTTACACCGCCTTAGCTGTGAACTGATGCACAACTACGTTTGTTCTGTTATTTATACGTCTCCATTGCCATTTCTGCATGAACGTGCTACTTTAGGGTGACAAAGTGTGTAGTACATCAGCATGAATAGAGTGCATAAAACGATTCCAGATGATCCTGTGGCTAAATATACCAAACTAGACTTATCTACGTCACCCCAAAATAAGAACAGCGCCACTATCACAGCGTTTTCTACATGGAACAAAGAGTAATACGCTATGGCAAGAACTCGAGATTTACCTCGGTTCAAATTCATGAAAGATACAATTTGCACAAATCCGATGAACACAAGGAATAAAATGTTGTGTAGCTTTCTTCTATAAACTTTCACATTTTTGAAAAAAGCAACAGTTATCATGATCATCCAATGGAATATAACACCAAATATTACGTAGTAGGGACCGTTTCCTTCGATTTAAATCACCATCATAATGGCTGTGATTCTTGGTCCGATCTCGAACACTCGCCAGAGGAAGTATCCCACAGCTCCACAGTTTGTGTTTGCTTTCAAACCGGAAGTTGCGTTAAAGATACGCAGTGCTCTGTTGTATCCCGTCACCGACCATGGCACACCTGCTAAAGACGATGCTATGGTAACAGCTCGCAGAATTTCTGTAATTAAACAAAATGTAGTCAATTAAATCATCTCTAAGTTATTATGAAATCAGTCTTGATTCAATAGATATAAACGAACATCTTTTTAATCATACATGTCTATTGATTCAATAGATATAAACGAACATCTTTTTAATCATACATGTCTATAAAAATAAATTTACATTTTTAAATTTTGATAATAATTATATAAATATTAAATATTCTTTGAAATTCAAACTTACATGATAACTATGATATATAGATGCATGTATCATGAAAGACCCTTTAAAGCTACATTGAAGAAAATGATATATAATCTTAAGAAACTGTCACAATTCCTGAAAAATTATTCCTATTCAACAAGAAAATTGCGAATTCAAGATTCCGGGGGAAAATACCAAGAAAATACTATTAATGCGTTTTTTCATACAAACCGAAAATACTCACTCTAGCAAAATATTTTTTTAATACTTTTTACATTTAATGGGACTGAAATGTAAGTGTTTTGAAGCACTTAATCAATGCTTCAAAACACTTGCATTTCAGTATCTAGAACTTTTAGTTTTTATTAAAATAGTTGGATGCAACAAGTGTAGTACATATTGTATAGACTGATTTTATGAAGAAATGAAAAACAAATAGCAAATTATAACTTATGAACAGCTGATAATTGCTGTTTGACAGTGATTTGAAAAAGACCTACATGACATTTTGCTGGAAACTATAAAATATATAAATAACGGAAAGAGAATAGGTCTATATCCCTGGAGTTTTAATACACTAGTAGCCATCTACCCATTCCCCGTCCCATGATACAATAGACCAATTTTAATAAAAATTGGATTGTTCATTCTTTGATGGATCAGTTGATTTTGAAAATATTTATAATTTGATAGAGAAATACGCACTCTGACACAAATAAACATGTTTTCCCCTTTACTTACGTAAGTGTAATGCTTCTTGCGGCGTGTCATGGATAGCAATGTAAACCTGGATGATCAACTGTTGAGCGGATTCAAAGAAGGCGTCGAACATCCGTAGAAAACTGCCATCTTTATCATTCTTTATCATTCTATTGTGATGTTTCTTTTAACACTGGATCTGCGACTTAACCACCCATGTTTTAAGTAAAAGAAATTTCTGAAAAAGGAACACAGTGCTTATATCAAGTTTGGATAAGATGTTTAAGGAATAATTGCGAATGAATAAAGTAGATCCAAGTATTTTTGAATTTTATCTAACTCTATATACTTTAGAAGTACAATATATTAAAAATCAGCGACTTAAGTTATTTGAGGGTCTTGCATGTGATCCAAAATGGTAGTGAAGTTATCAAGTATCTGATTTCAAAGCTGCGATACACTAACTGATAATGGTAGAAAATGGGAAGGCCACAATCAGAAACAAATACTTTCCCAATTTTCCTACGGGTCCACTTCCGTCTTGCAAGTACCAAACCGTGCTTATATAAGGACCCCACCACCAGAAATGACGCAATCACAACCGTTGACGTAAGTGCACACTCTACCGTGATTTTTGGATTCCAAGGCAAGAAGAATGTCCGTTACAACGTCGAAGACAAAGAGTACTATTGAAACAACAACACCAAGAAAGTCCAAAATGGAAAATGGATAGGGTTGGACGTTGTTTTTATCATTTGTGGTAGAAGTGTTCTCATCCGAGTCATCAATGATAAGCGTGGCGTTTTAATCTCGGACCCCCACCATACTTCTGAGCATAATTTTTCTCCTACTTTGATCAATTTCTCCATTTAGCTCTCGATTTCTCCCCGACATCGACACAATCTAAAGGGTACACAGCCGGTAACTTTTATGTTGTCCGATTACGTTGTTCTTCTCACCTTGATTTTGTTTTTCACGAAAACCAACCATATTATCTACCTCACACTCGTCCGTTTCTGTTCTGTGTTTCTTCTTTTTTAATTTCAACTTCTTCATTGTGCTACAATCTGCAGAGTAAAATCTTGTTCTGGGAATAGAATTTGAAGTACAAAACGTAAGATTCCCGAGAAATCTTGATAAGGAAATATCTAGTATCGTTTTTATACTTATTTCATAGTGTAATCTAATATCATGTGTTCAATAAGATTAGAGAAACCTATGAATAGATTGATTTATCGCATTATCTAAACCATTAAGGTTTACGACAAGCTGGGTTTTAACTTATTCGTTCGATTTCTGGTAGATTTCAGAATACAAGAAATGGCATCATGAAACTTGTATGATATAAAAATAATTATTATGTTAATAAAATAATTTGACATATACATAGATAATGTACTCCGTATAGTCAACGTCTGTGAAAGTTTTCAAAACCTTATCGCCTTGCTTCCGAATTAGTTATAGGACCAAATTAATGTTCTTGTCTGGATCCTGTTTTACAAAAGAACTGACGACTAAAAGCAAACTTTTAATTCTGTTTATTACTTTGATTTTAAAATGGTTTTCATCTTTTTAAAAAAAAAAATTAGAAAGATATTTTTATGCTAGCAATTTTAAAAAGAAGAATCATTTTTGCAGAATTTTACAATGAACTAAAGTTTGTGGTTCGTTTGTAATACGGGCCCAGATCGTGTCATTCAATGTAAGAATGTATGCAATAAATGGAAAGGGGAGTTTTGGTTTTATCCAAAATATAGAGTAATATCGTATTCGAATTTTAAGATAAACTCTGGCATAATATATCATGAGGTAAGAGAAAGTGAGATATAGCTAACCAGGCAAAAAATTGTCCTTTTTTGGGGGGGGGGGGGGTTCCACTCACAGGATTCCGTGGATTTTTCGTGTTGTATATAAAATGTATTAATTTGTAACTCAAAGAGTGACTGCCTAGAATATATGTATTAATGGCTCTAATTCCTTTTGATAATATTTAGAAAGGGATAAGAAATAATACCAAAATTGAAAAATTGTAGGAGAAATCACTGTAGGAGTAATTTCTTTTCCAAATTACTGTGAATTATTTTATTTAATATGTATACATGTATATCTTTGCCCAAATAGACAGTATTCGAAGATATGAATGAAGACTAACTTTTGGTTTATTTAAAAATAACTCAGGGATTTTCTTTACAAACATACCACCGGATAATAAGTGATAAATATTTAAAGAATTTTAAACGATACAAATTTAAAGAACTTAGAAATTACCAAGTGACGGCACTTTAATTAAGGCTCATACAAATGATTTCATACATGTATACTAAAAGATTTGCGAGGTCCATCAGATAGAATACACTTCTAGGATTCCATTTGATTGTACAGATTAGGAGCTGAGTAGGGTTGAGAAGATTAGAACCAAATATAAATAGCATGGGCAATTAATGCATAAACATATTGAGCATAATATGAAATGACACATTTCATAAAAAAAGTCCACGATACAGAAAATAAGTACTAAATGAGATAACAGTTCAGTGCATAATAAGCTGTGCATGATGAGATTTCTAAAAACATGTCCGCCTTAAATTTATGATAAATGCAACTTTTCCAAATTATGAAATTATTGTATTATAGACAAATATAGAATTGTAATTAACAACCAAGATGATGTTCTTTGAGGATTCAGTATGTTCGCCCAATTTTGATCCGAAGTCCAACTACGCTTGCCCTTGTACAAGTAATTCAACGTCTTTACTGCTTTTTCTGCATATATGTGAAACTTTAGGGTGACAAAAAGTACATAATACGTCAGCATGAACAGAGTATACATAACAACCCCGGATCGATGAAACCACAAATATTGTGATTATGCATATCTACCGGTACGTCAACCCAAAATACAAACACTATCATATGGACCAAAGAGGAATACACTACTCGGGATTTGCTCAAATTCATGAAAGATACGATTCACATACACAAAGCCGATGAATAAAATTTGTGTAGGTTTCCTTTAAAGTTTTTTTTTTGCATTAAAAAAAATACACCAGGTACCATGATATCCAATGGATGATCCTTGCTTCGTTCCTTCGATTGAAATTATAACTTACGCATTATAACTTACTATAAGTAATATCTTGCATGTTAACGTAATTATCTTGCATGTTAACGTAAATAAGTCGCATGTTAACATAATTCTGTTGCATCTTGCTTGTATGATGTCGTATACCGGCGTTAGTAAGTATGTTTACCAACATTAAAATTAGATTCTCTATAAAGATTGGTAACTTGCATATCAACATAATTATTATGCATATAGACATAATTATCTTGCATGTTGCAATATTTTTCTCGCATGTTAATTTATCTTGCATGTAGGGGGCAGAAATATGCCACCATACAATTTAAAGAACATTTATGTACTTAATTCTTTTTTAAAACTCAGTATGCACTCTCTATTAATTAAAAATGCAAAAATTTCCAAAACAACCCCCCAAAAAAGTTCAACTTAAACAACCATTTCAAATTTATATTATTTATGTGAAGTAATTGATCTGTTAAACTGTATAAATGTTGTTATCAGATTACGTTATCGTAAAAAAAAGGATTTTTTTTATTACTGAGTACCTCAGCAAAACATTGGATGGATTTACAGAGTTATGCTTCTTTTCTATAGTAAACATTGTGGTTTCCCTTCAATAGATTTTTCATTTCATATATATTGTACATGTTGGATTTCATTTATTACAGAATAATTTCTGTTTTAATTAGTTTGAAGATGGGTCTAAATTTTTCACTAAATTGATTGGACTACTGAGGTAAATTGCAATTTTGAAGTGTATTTAAAATCGGGGGGGGGGGGGGGTTGACTGTTTTCTGAAAGATTAGCTTGATTAACTGAAGACATATGCTCGCGCATCGTCGGTACTCACGGGTGATCTCGTCTTTTACTCATCACCATGATGAGTAAAAGACGAGATCACCCGTGGGTATCCGAAGATGATGCTCGTGCCCTTGATACTCATGGCATTTTTACACAATTGTGTCGTCCATAAATGTAGTCGCAAATCTATGCAATGAATTAAATCAATCATTCCTCCATACACATTAAATTTTAACAACATTTTCATGAAGAGGGCCTATTTATTATGCGCACAGCTATGCCTTAGGGAAGCAGTTACTGTATTTAATAAAAACACACTGTTGCATGGAAAAAACATGAAAAAGTAAACGAGGCTCAAATATCATATCACGTTTTCCTTGTAGGGTTTTTAAAATTGATTTTTTTTTTAGATATTTCAACTGCTTAGGGAATGAACGCATGCTTTGTGAAAAAAATCATAGTTATATTTTATCAAGATAAAAGCGAACTCGCATTTTTTAGTCATTATGTATAATACTTAACAACTGTTTTCTGTCGAAACTTAATGCTTTACAAAAATGGGACAATTTCACATTTTATCATTGATAGGTAAACATTGTTTTAGTGCATGGCGAAATTCGATTCGAGTGTGCATCACGTAGGCAATTGCAACACTGTGCAAACATCCAGTGGTTACTGTAATTTTACTTTTTTGACTATTTTAATTTCCATTTTGAAATGGAACATATAACAACTCTAAGAAATCTGTGGAACCAATGAACACCTAAAAGTTTAAAATTCGAAAGTGGTGCCGTTTTCTAATGTAGAAAGGCTAGAGTTTTTAGTAAGTAAAAACTTGTATTGAAAAATAGGATGTATGTGACGGTAGCTTGATTTAACAATTATTGAGTGTACAAGCATTTGGAAAAGAACCAAGTTACACTAAGATGAGAAAAATTATTTTAACGAGTTCCTCAGCCAACAACTTTCATTGAATTACGGCACTCGCCCCGTGATTGGAAGGTCGTGTGTTCGAATCACGGCCGCAATAGACCTAAGTCGATCAAAAATATGTAGCAACTGTTCCTTCTCCAAGCGCTCGATACTTTGAAGTGAAAGTTGCGGGTCCTTCGGATGAGAACTTAAAAACTGAGCCCCGTGTCACGGTAGGCGTTGGCACGATAAAGAACCCTCACTGCTCAATGACCCTGAGTGCCGAGTAAAGTCTAAATTTGAAGCCCTTCACCGGTATATGGTGACGTCTCTGTATGGGTGAAAAATTCTCGAATTGGGACGTAAAACAACATACAATCAATCAATCATTGAATTAAGAACCAATCCCGATTTATTTTCATACAATTTCAGTTGGTGCGGTA